CCCCCCCCTCCCCCCCCCCCCCCCCGGCCGTCCTCTCCTTTCTCCTCCCCCACACACCTAGGGAATGATATCCAAGGTCCAACGCTATCCACAGGGCAAAGCTCATGCTTATTGGGCTGACAGTGGCCATTCATTGTAGTGGATACCGTACCATGGGGCCGCGAATTAGGTTTCCAGACTACCTACTTGTAACATGACACGCTACTTAATCTGCCTAGTGCATCCATCATCATCTTACCATACCTGCCATTGTGTGGGGTTGGTACCCGATCTGGTGAGTTCGCGGATGGGTAATGTACCCTTTTTTTTGGGGGGCGCGGGGATGGGTGGAAGGTTAGTACATTGATGCGTTAATGCATTGATTCCTTGTGATATTGTCTGTTATTATGTGGGGGCTTTTTGTTGGGGAGATGAAGTTCAACACTCTGATGGAGAAGAGATAAGATGGATTAGATTGGGACGAGCTTAGAAATTACTCGGTCGTTGTTAGGTGAATATTGTTGGGTTTAGTGAGAATGGAGGTACTGGTTGAGTCGGGGTTAATGCTTTCTGTAGAAACTGAACTAATGGTAGTGTGTGTGTGTGTGTGTGTGTGTGTGTGTGTGTGTGTGTTTTTGTATATGTGTAATGCCGCTTTAAATGTTTTGAGTGTGTGTGTCTTGTTGGCATGGTCAATAAACTCAGGTCAATAAACTTAGATAGCAAGGGTTGGAGTCTACGGGGAACAATATCGTCACAGCCAACTTCTCATCTCGCTTATACCGCAGGGCATACAATAAACATACAAGGAATGCAGATAGCGAGAGAGAGAGAGAGAAAAGCACCAACAAGCCGAATGCAGCCACATCTCTTCTACCTCTCTTCTTCCTCTCTTTCACGGTCTCTCTTCCCAGCCTCACTCAAGGAGACAACAAAATCACATATCATGCAGACTCTCATATCCAACCTCTACTAAGCTCTTTCCCTTCCCGCCGCTCTTGTCCCCACCAATATGCCAGTAGAACAGTCCCCCGAGTTTCATCCTCGTCACGAACTTCGCCTTCAGCTGCACCGTCCGCGGGGTGTCGTACGTGACGAACCCGCCATCCACGCCGCCGACACAATATGCCGCGCCGGCCTCCTCGTCCACGACCTCCCGCGCACCGGGTCGGGGCAGGTCGCAGTAATCGAAGATCCCGTCGTCGCCCCCGCAGCCCGCATATCGCTGGCCTGGGCCGGAACAACCCAGGAATGACCGGCCGTAGACGGGGATCCCCAGCAGCAGCTTTTTGGGATCGATGGGGTGGTTGTTGAGGATGTAGGCAATGCTGGACTGACAGGACAGGGTATTGCTGCTCGCGTTGGGATGCGAACTACTCGGGGGTGCCGTGAGTTGGGCGTGGTGGCCGGTTTCCGGCGTCCAGGGTCCCGTGAAGTCATAGGCCATGATGTTGAGGAGGTCCAGATAGGATTGGGCTTTGGAGAGATCGATGTGTCGCAAGAACCAGGGCGATGCGGGGAGGGCTGATGTTACAAGGTAGCGTGGGGTCGGGAGAGACTTGCGGATTTGGGCGAGGAGGCGGATATAGTCGGCGCCTTGGTGGGCGTCAGAGGGGTGTTCCCAGTCCACTTTTTGAGCAATTGTTAGCATGGAGTTGCAAGTACGTTGCGTAGAACACAGGGTTGAGTGGAATCAGAGAGCGCAGAGCAGAAAGAAATAAGCTTACCATCTACCCCATCTAGGCCGTACTCGTCTACCAGTGCTCGGGCAGTCCGCCCAAAAGTCTCCATACACGCTTGACTGCGAGCCACGCGCGAGAAGTTCTCACTTCCCTTGCCGGCGCCACCGATAGAGAGAATGAGTTTCAGTTTAGAATACTTTGGCTTGAGCTGGGCGAAAGCCCGGAGACAGCCGGTAGTGCCGTCCACGGGCATCTGTGTGTCGGCCCATTCGTCGCTCAACTGGGTAAAGTCAGTTTACAACCCAGAAAAAAAGAGCGGAAGATTACTCACGTAGACGGTACCATCTTCTTTAACCCTATGAGAAGAGAAGCAAAATTGGTTAACATCCTCTGTATGGGTTCAGGGCCCGAGGGCCAGATGTGGGTGCTGAGTGGCTACTAGTACCAGGCAAATGCGTAGAATATATGCGAGACAAATCCCAATCGCAGCGAGGAAGGGGACTGTTTCTGATAAATGCGCCAATTGGGATAGTAAGCCGCATTCAGATAGAAGGGCACCTCATAAGAGCTGCTGCTGGAGCGTTCGGCTGCTTTGCGACGCCAGTGTGGGAATAGTGCGGAATTAGAGAACATAATGAGGTGGGGGCCCTAGGAGGGCGAGGAGGATGCGGGAAACAATGATATTGAGCTTAGCAAGCCCACAAGAGATGACTATAGCCTCTTTGGATCCGATAGAGAGACAAAGCGAAAAAGTGACGAGAGTGAAGGCGAAGGATCAGGACGAATAGACTGGTTGAGAGTGGCGTCACGTGTGGGGTATATGGGCAGTGAAAGGACGAAGTGATTGTTTTCTTGAGCTTCTTGTAGTTCTCTCGACGTCTGGACAAATTAATTATGTCCGAGCCTCCTACACCCACGACTTTGTGTCAGTTATCTGAATTTTGATCTGAATCTATCGACTCATCTGTTCGATTTTCCTGGAAGATTGAAATCCCTCACTTGAACCGGGCAAGAATAAGACAGAGACGGACGTGGAAGGAAAAAGGGTCAGAGTTAAACAGCAGCAAGACCGAACGAAGCGAAGCGACAGAAGTACAGACTCTCCCAAAGAAGGCAACCGCAGGAGTTAGTAGTTATAGTAGCAGTTAAGTTAGTACTTGACCTACCGTAAGGTACATTCAAGTTAGTTCTTCTCCCGTTTTGCGATCCCATTACTACTGGTACAGTACTAATAGTCTTAGGGAGCCCGGGTACGCTATTTCTAGGGCTTCCTAATAGTTAGTCAATGCGGCGGCGGACAAATCCTCCACCTCCACCATCACCACCACCATGATGATGAGAATAATGATGATGATTATGCTCAGAAGTAAAACCAATCACACGGCCCGTCTAGGCAGAACAGGCAGAGTTTCCGGCCCCAGTCGCAATTCTCCCACTCACTCACACAGCAACACACACCTCTATCTCTTCGTGTTGGCTCGTCGGATCAGAATCAGCCCCAGACACGGTCCGAACGTCTGGCTCTCTCCCCGCCTATGACAGTTCCAGGTCGGACGTCCTTTTTTTGCCATCGGGCGGGTCATTGGCTGCCTTCGAGGCTTCGTTCTGACTTCAGCACAACAGCTCCGTAAGGTATCCTCAGTGCACCAACGCTCAGAGCCTGTTTTGATGGCGTTTGGGCTCTTTCACTCTCTGGCTTGGTGCCAATACCTCGATTCCAGGTGGATCAAAGACAAAAATTGCGACTGATCCCATGCAGCCATGAGAGAAGGATCGACCGATGACTGAGCTCTGGCGCCGAATCAGCATTGCAGTTGTGCAAGTAATATTAGTGCTTCTCGGGCGACATGGGCCGCTGCTCACCCGCCATCCCTCTCTAATTAACTGCTACGAGTAGTTCACAGGTTTCTCAATCGGTGGTTCCGAACCAGGCTGGATAATTGATGTCGTGGGGAACTGCATTACTGGTTTTACTTTTGCCTTGGAGATACTCGGGCTTGAACCCTGGCCACTTCGAGTACCACCGTGGCAGTGGTTTTATAGGGGTGATCCTTGGTCAAGGTGAATATGCTGACTGTCGTGGTGATATAGACACAGCCACAGAAGGAAGGAACTGCGATTCGAGAGAGATATAATTTATACCCAAGGCATAAGTTGCTGTTGGAAGGGTGAGACAACGGATGACTTGGGCTATCTTAGCGTGGCAGACGACGTATCTCCCGGTGCTCATCAGCAACCAGCGGTCGCACGGGGTGGGTGGAGGTGCCCATGAAATACGAGAAGAAGGACAAGAGAACAGTTGTTCTCACAGCCAGGCGGATCCTGATTCTACCCCAGATTCCAAGCGCAATGATTCTGTCTCGAAGCTTGTAGGCCCAAAGTAGCCGACCATGTAATGCTGGCCGTGCCAACAATGTTTGATGCTCGTCATATGCAGGGGCAGCCCGACGCTTCTCCGGCAAGATTTCCCCAGACAGCTGGGGCGGACGAGCTATCGCATTCTGGCTAATTATCCTGTCTGATCACGGTACTTAGAATGTATGACCTGTCCGATCTGAATGTTTTGGGATTTGACTTCGACTTGGTTCCATCATGCAGAGGCTGAGTAATCTGCTCGAGCTGTTGCCACCGCCTACCGCTCAAAGAATATTGCCGCTTTGTCGCTCGGGCTGATCTCTTCTAGTCTTTGTCTTTGTTACTTCACATTCCTCCTGTCCAACTCCTAGCTCACGACTCATAAATCGGACTGACACACGAGAGCACATTTTAGCAGGGCTGGTCTATTTCTCGGAGCTTTGATATTGACCAAGAGCAGTGGCCCCTTGTCCAAATTACACTACCTCTTCGTTTCTTATCCATTGACAGCTCTTTTCCGTGTCCTCTGACAAGCTCAACACAATGGCGACTGACGTCGGCCATGTTGCCTCGCGGATCCTGTCCCCCGATACTCCTCGCGACCCGAACTTTGATGATTTTTCCTTCATCCCTTTTCTGCGCAATAGCTATGGATTCGGCCTAGCTAGCGACGTTCCCGAATGTAAGGCCTTCCACGAGGGCCACTGTCCGCTGGGGCCGGCCTGCCCGGACCGACATCCTACGCCCTCACGCATGACCACGTCAATGACGACAGCCTCGGGACTGGCGCCCTCGACAACGCATGGATCACTGGTCTGCAAACACTTTCTCAAGGGGCTCTGCAAAAAAGGCATCAAATGCGAATACCTCCACGAATACAACCTACGGCGCATGCCCGAGTGCCAGTCCTTCTCTCGATCCGGCTACTGCCCGAATGGCGACGATTGCCTCTACCAACACGTTCGGGAGGAAGCCCGGTTGCCGCCGTGCGAACACTATGACCGGGGCTTCTGCGAGCTGGGACCGCTGTGTGCCAAGCGGCATGTGCGCCGCCGTCTCTGCCCGTTTTACCTAGCGGGATTTTGCCCGGAAGGAAAGAACTGCACAGATGCGCACCCCCGGTGGTCGGAGAACCTACCGCGGCCCACGATGCGAGTTGAGAAGACGGAGGAGGACCTGGAGCGCGAGCGGGCTCTGATCCGCGAGGAACAGGAGAAGGAAAAAGAACGGGAGCGCGAATGGCGGAGCGAACGTGGCCGTGGCGGAGGTTTCATGCGCGGCCGGTTCCGTGGGCGTGGGCGTGGCTAGATGATGCTCTCTTGGGGAGAAATTCTGTGAGATTCCAGTTACTACATTGTGAAGATACCCCTCCGTGGCATTTGATGATGATTTGATTTATTTTACGACGCAAAGCGGGCATGTCATGTACGTATTTTATGCAGATATAAGAGTCGGAGAAGAGGGCCAAACGTTTAGCCTAATACGAGATCTTACACTTTCGGATTTCAAGGACTTACCAGTAACTATGTACGGAGCAGTGCAATGATTGCTAGGGTTGGGGTCTGCAGTTCGTATAGATTGCAGATAAGATGGGCTGATGAGCTGATTGCGTGTTGGGACGAGCGATGGCCTAGAGCTATTCTATTTTAAGATAGGGATGCCAGCCCATGACGCCCGGAATGGCGTCTTTCTCTACGTAGCTAAAATTGTTCTAATTTCAATGTATATAATGCATTGCCTAATAACTTAGTAATGACGGAAGCGTTTATATCAACATAATTCAAACAAATGGGTCAATAGAGAGAGTCTATAATGGATCCAGAAGCATCAATTGCAATGATCCATGATTAGACTGTAGCCTACCGAATTCTGTTGCTACTAGTGTAACACATCCGACCACTTCGGGCCTCCTCCTCCGTCTCGAGTCCCGAAAGGGGATATGGTACAGCTGGAGCCTACTGGCTCTCTGGTAGACTTCTAAGATTCTAACGTCTATCTAAGAGCGTAAGATGAGAATTAGACCCGAGTCGACTAGCCCTACCTTGTACTAATGGCTGATTAACAGATTAACAATACGGGCAATGGACTCCACCGCGCCCACCTTTCCAGGGGGTTCTGATTTTCCAATGCGCAAGCGGAATTTAAGCGCGATTTGTCACCGTCCCGTAAGATGGCTTTCCCATTGCTGATTGGTCTGATGCTTTCTTTGCTTCCCCGCTCGCCCCACTGCCCTCTGCCCCTCACCAATCACCAGCTCTCGGGCCCAGGGTCTGTCATCGATTACGGATGCTTGCCAAAGCAATTGAACCTCTTTTTCCCCGTAGCTGCGTAGCAACTGTTTGTTGTGGCGTACTTGCTGGATGAGGGAGGGGGAAGGGATAGGGGCCTTTCTATCTCACGGTCTCGCCGGTCTCAATTCTTTGACTATATATTTGCTGCTTCTCTGCCCCTCTTTGACCAGCCCCTCTTTCTACTCATCAGTCTTAGTATCCAACTACCGTTTTCTGTCATTCTTCCAGAAACCAACCCCCTCACAAATAATCACCATGGCTCCCAAGATTGCTATCGTCTTCGTATGTACTCCCCCAACCCATTGTCATACTCCTCCATCAAACAATGGGAAGATAGTCAATTCGTCCTGGTCGTTTCTCAGGAATCTGGAGCATCGTCACTGATGGTTGATCATGCAGTACTCGATGTACGGCCACATCCAGCAGTTGGCCGAGGCTGAGAAGAAGGGTATTGAGGCTGCTGGCGGCTCTGCCGACATCTACCAGTGAGTTTGTACCTGGACAAGGCATCATCCAGGTGATCTGGTAATAGCTAACACAGTTTACCTTATCTAGGGTCGCTGAGACTCTTCCTAATGATGTCCTGGCTAAGATGCACGCTCCTCCCAAGTCCAGCTACCCCGTCGTCGAGCCCAACACTCTGCTCGAGTACGATGCTGTTCTCTTCGGTATCCCCACCCGTTACGGTAACTTCCCTACCCAGTGGAAGGCATTCTGGGACCAGACCGGTGGGATCTGGGCTTCCGGTGGCTACTGGGGCAAGTACGCCGGTCTCTTCATCTCCACTGGTACCCAGGGTGGTGGTCAGGAGTCCACTGCTCTTGCTTCCATGAGCACCCTCGCTCACCACGGTTTCGTCTACGTCCCTCTCGGCTACAAGACCGTCTTCGGCCAGCTGGCCAACCTGAACGAGGTCCACGGTGGCAGCCCCTGGGGTGCCGGTACTTTCGCTGTAAGTCACCATATCCCTGTCAATTGCGTGAATCAGTCTTGGTTCATCCACTAACACCACTATCAGGGTGCCGACGGTTCCCGCCAGCCTTCCGCTCTCGAGCTCGAGATTGCCCAGGCTCAGGGCAAGGCCTTCTACGAGCACGTCTCCAAGCACACCTTCGCTTGACTACATGGCAGCGAGCAGACCCAGTCGGAGTCGCGTGCCGCAGCCCAGCCGCAGCAGAAGACCGAGACAGAGAAGTCTGCGCCTCAACCTGCACAAAACGGACAAAGCACCCAGGCAGCGACCCGGGAGGAGAAGAGCAATGAGGGACCTTGTGGCCTGCCCAAGAAGTGTGTCATCCAGTAGAAACCCGAATTGCTTAGTATCCTACCGGTTCTCTGCTCTGTAACTGGGCTTGCTTTTGTTTCTGTTTCGGTTGGTATGGCGTTGGGTTATAAAGGGAGGGGATTTCAAGAACATAATTCACGTGATACACCAGACTTCGGTCTAACTAGAGAATGAATGATAATATATTCGGTATATACATCTATATGTTATTACCTGTTTATTGACAGAGAGGATGTACTGTAGAAAGGGAGCACAGTTGATTACACGTCTGAAAGCTGTTGAAAATGGGAAGCGGCAGTTCCTGACAAGGGCCAAGGCGGTGAGGGGTAGCTTACGGTGGCTGATGACGATAGAGCTTCGCTGCCTTCTTCGCCCGCCGGAGAGCTTCCTATTCTCCGACTATCTTCCTCGTTCTCTGGGATCCATCTCTTCAGCCCTACTTTCTCCTGAATTCCCGACATGACCTTATGATTACGATGAAGCAGTGAAGCCCGAGCTTAGTGAAAATCGAGAAAACTTCATTTCCAACCTCCTCCCGCACCTTCCTCTAGATCCTATTTCGCCCATCATGGCGTCCCGGTCGATTATTTTGAGATTCGAAAGCCGCAACGGCCAGTTCCGGCTGACAGTCAGCCCTCAGGACTTGTTTCCTACTCTTCAGCAGAAGGTGAAAAATCGAAGTCGAGAACGAATAGATAGCATCAGCATGAAGGAACTAACCTTGACCTCACTTTAGATTGTTGAACATCTACCCCCCAGCACAGATCCCGCATCTATTGCCCTCTCCAATAAGCCCATAGGTACTGGTGGTGAAGAGAGGCTTCTAAGCACTCTTGGTGGGGTGGCGATCGAAAGAGTTGGCCTCAAGTGAGTTTGCATCGAGCCCCCACAGCACGTCGGCTGAACTCGATTGCTGAGTACAGCGGCTAACAACTGCTCTGCTGGTAATCTCAGACACGGAGACAAGCTCTATCTCGGCTATAACGAGACACAAGGACAACAGAATGGCTCTGTCAACGGGGTTCCTGCCTCAACCGAAACGTCCCGCCGCTTGAACGGAGCACCTGTTCCACAGAACGATACCGTCACCTTCCGCCCCCCGCAACCGACCTCCCCAACCACTGTGATCAAGAACCCCTGGGATGTGGTGCAACAATCACCGCTCGATGATGCGCTGGACAAGAAGGACGGCAAGATTCATCGGCCCCGCGATATGAAGATGTGTCGACATGGTCCCAAGGGCATGTGTGACTATTGCATGCCGCTCGAGCCATATGACCCCAAATACCTGGCTGAGAAGAAGATCAAACATCTCTCCTTCCACTCGTACTTACGAAAACTCAACGCCTCCACCAACAAAGCGGAGCTCAAAAGCTCTTTCATGCCCCCGCTCAATGAACCATACTATCGCGTAAGACGAGACTGCCCGTCCGGACACCCTCAATGGCCGGAGGGCATTTGCACAAAGTGTCAGCCGAGTGCCATCAGTTTACAGCCGCAAGAGTTCCGGATGGTCGATCATGTGGAGTTCGCCCACTCAGAGCTTGTCAACTCGTTGCTCAACTTCTGGCGGAAATCCGGGGCCCAGCGGTTGGGATTTTTGTACGGAACCTACGAAGAATACGCGGAAGTGCCCCTGGGCGTCAAAGCAGTGGTGCAGGCAATCTATGAGCCTCCACAAGTTGATGAAGTTGACGGGGTCACGCTGCACGAGTGGCCCGATGAGAAGGAGGTCGATGAGGTGGCCCGGCTTTGTGGCATGGAGAAGATTGGAGTGATATTTACAGACCTGCTTGATGCAGGTAACGGAGATGGATCAGTAGTGTGCAAGCGGCACATTGATTCATACTATCTTTCTTCCCTCGAGATCGCTTTCGCAGCGCGCCTACAAGCTCAACATCCCAAGGCGACAAAATGGAGCCGAACGGGCCGTTTTGGATCCAACTTCGTCACCTGTGTCCTCAGTGGAGATGAAGAAGGTGCGATCACTGTCAGCGCGTACCAAGCATCCGTGGCTGCAGTCGAGATGGTTCGAGCCGACATCGTTGAGCCGTCCGCCGAACCATCTGTGATGCTAGTCCAGTCTGAGGATGACGATGAGCAGAACAGATCTCGATATATCCCTGAGGTCTTCTACCGCAAGATCAACGAATACGGCGTCAGTGCCCAGCAGAATGCCAAACCCAGCTTTCCAGTGGAATACCTCCTGGTCACATTGACCCATGGTTTCCCCACCGAATCTTCCCCACTCTTCACCGACAGCAGCTTCCCCATCGAGAATCGCGAAGTCATTGGCGAGAGTCAGGAACTACGCAACGTCGCGAAGAAGCTTGTTTCGCATGCTGACCCGGAGAAGGCAATCCGTGCCGTGTCAGATTTCCACTTGCTGTGCTTCCTGCACAACCTCTCCACCTTCAGCAAAGTATGGCCTGCTGCTATGTCCCCTTTCCTCCCTTTTAAGAGTACATCGCAATATTATCAGTCGCATGCTAACATATCCCTCCACTCTCCAGGACGAAGAATCTCTTCTCTGCCGCGTCGCAACCTCCCGTAACCCCGCCGATGGTATGCAGTTGATCAACACCCCCGGCTGGGCGACACTGGTCACAATTCTGCAGGAAAGTGGTGAGCGGCCCCCCAAGCGCCCCTGGCTGAGCACGGCCACACTACCTCCATCTTCATCATCACCATCACCATCACCCGGATCTGAGCTCCCTCTCCCCATGAGAAAAGCCGGTCGACGCCCCTTTCCCTCTGCCTCTGCCTCCTCCCGATCCGCCTCTCCCAAATCAGAAAGTGAACAGCTTGCTAAGAGGTTTAAGGGAGCTAGCCTAGAATGAGTGATTGATTATGGTTCTTCCAAGTCGAACGGAGAAACACCTTCCAACCCGCGGAAACCCGTCTCAGCATTTTTCCCGCTCCGCCTGCTTGCCTCTCCGCTGCTCCCTCACCGATGTTCCCCCTCGCTCTCTGCTATTCATAATATAGGGAGAGCTCGAGTTGCGATCAACCTTTTAGTATAAGTGCTGTTCGATCCCAATCTCGGTTGATATGGTTTGTTGATCAGCCTTAAAGGGTCAATGGGGCCAGGTGAGGGATTAGTTGAGGGGTCAATAGGACCAGTTACTAGTCCGGAGAAGCATCAGTGGTCGTTGGGTGATGCTGTAATCTAGGGCATAGTTTCACCCCCAAGCAAGGATAAATCTCTTTCAACAGGCGCTTGCCTCTCATTCTACGTAAGGCACACTCACCCACGTATCTGGCCCCCTTTTCGCGTGCTGGTGTTAAGCTCGGCTACACAGTACTTATTTTAGGCCGTATGTAGCATGCTTATTTGAGGTCCGTAACTACCGGTAGTGGCAACAAGCTTGCACAGAATCATGATGCAAACATTTTGAAGTTGAATTTGAAGCGAAAAAGAGATGATTCACATTCCATATTCCCAGTGAGTGCCATAGACATTTTAGCCCAATGCGTCAAATAGAAAGAGAGAGAATAAAAAAAGAAAAAAGCAGCATGACGTAAGTGAAACACTATCGCTCCATCCCATGGGGAGTGATCGCTGCATATTAAAAGAAATATGATACAGGATAGAATGGCAAAAATCGTAATATCATGATGGCCCAATTTGTCGTCGGATGGTGCAGGATTACAGAAACATGAGATTGAAAGGACAATCGAGAGAATCAAAGACGTATTTGTGAACGCAAAACGACAGAGAAGAATCAGAAGTCAAAGAGGCTCTTTGCAACCAGAGGAAGTGAGATCGTAAATACGTAGGAGGGAACCGAGGATTGAGGAGAGAGAACACAAGAGATCGGACGCGGACGCCGCTTACTCTTTCTCAAGCAACTCGCCCAGTCTCTTTTCCAGAAGGCGTCTGCCCTCGACAGTCTTCCACACCTCGTGTGGTGCCCCGCTCACAATATCCCAGTCCTTCAGGTTCTGGGTAATCTTCGTCAGGTCCTCCTGCGTCTTGGCCCATTTGTGGCTCTTGCGGACCTCGACGCCCGAGCTGACGACGACCAGCGGCGTGTCAGACATCTGGACGTGGCGGGCAGTCTGGATCTCCGAGGCGGTCATGGACTTGGCGACGAGATTTTCTTGGAGCTTGGCTTTGATGAACTTCCCTGCCTGGTAGGCGCTGCGGCCGTAGACCCGGTCCTCGCGAGTGCGACCCTTGAACAGCGCGCCGGCAATGCGATCCAGCCCCAGCGGCGAGAGCACTCCTTGCAGCCAGAGACCAAAGCCGCGGCTTGAGGAGCCGATCTGAGAGAGGTAGTCCTCGTGCGTGCTGTCGATGAGCAGGATACCAGTCACCTCAAGCAGGTGCCTACTGGCGAAAATGCGGCTGTAAATGCCACCGACGCCCGCGGAGACGAGGACCCAGGGACCCTCTTCGCCAGCCAGGGCGAGAGCCTCCGAGAGGGCATCGGCGGCCATGCCGGCTGAGTAGGGGGACGGTGCATTGTCGGACCAGCCGAAGCCTGGGCGATCCCAGTAGCAGTAGCGAGGGACCAAGCCGCTTTGGTAGGCGTTGTCAATGAAGGGTTGGAGGGTGTGCTCGACAGGACCTTCGCCGCCTTCGATCAGGACGGTGGGAACGTCATTGAGATATTGAGTCGTCGTTGTGTTAGGGCTGCCCACACAGTTGAGGTGGACCTGGTAGTTATTGCTATTGACGAGATACTTCTTGCCCGGCGCAGCGAGAGAGGCGTCGCGGGCCCGCAAGATCAGTGTAGCCGTGAAGAGAATAGAGACTACTCCGAAAATGGCCATGAAAATGGTCTGCAGTAGCACGGCAATCCATTCGCGGAGGGGGCGACGGCTTTCCGGACGACCTGTGAGACGCTCTTCCTCTTCACGCTTGCCCCATTCGACAGCCCGATTCTGGAAGATACTGTACAGGGCGATGAAGGTGACCCAGACAACCGAGGCTACGCCTACCCAACCCTCTTCGACGCGGATGCGAGGTACAGCAAGTGTGAGGATCATATCGATGCAGAGAAAGACCCCGATGATGATTCCCCATACGGTCATTGGCTTGGACGGTACAACAAAGAAAACTAGGCTGATGACGAGGTACCCGGTGGTGAGGGTTGTATAGGCGAAGCTGAAGAACCCAGACCCTCGACTATGCATCATGGGAGGACTGACGAACAGTGAGACAAGAAGGAAGGTCCACCAAATGAAGCTCAGGGCCAGAAAGAGCGAGGATAAGCCGCGAAGAGCGCGGATGCTCCAAAGGTTGTACGGAGAGACCTGGAAGTGGCAAGTGTGAGCAACACCGGCTGGCCTGGCACATTTTTGTCTGCTTTATCCACAACGAAGAGCACTCACAGCAGGATCATCAGGACTCAGGTAAGCTGGGGGATCGCGCGGCAAGAGTCGAGAGCGCTCTGTGGGCTCTGGGTGTTGGGTATCATCACCCTCGTTGTCTGGCCGCTCCTCCCTTTCGGCGTTATCATTGCGCCCAAGTTTGAGTGACGGCATGATACCAGTATAGCGAAGCACTCTAAGTCGACTTTGACGATGGCCGTATGTACTGTACAGGCGACACAGGGGTTGAAACCACGTAACCACGTTCACAGGTGATCTCTGGAAGGAAACGATAGAAAAGCGATTGAGAAAAATGGGAACACAGCTGCATAACAGCAAAGGCAGGCAGTGACGGAGATCGCATCTTCGATCAATTGACGTCACAGGGAACAATGGGGGGGGAATTGGAATATCACGGGATTTCCCCAGAAGGAATGCCACATGCTGACGTCATGCAAGGTTCATGCCAGTTTTCACCGCTACATCTGATAAGAATTGTGGTACATAGATTGGTTCCTGGTCGAAGGTGAGAAGATGATGAATGGGACGAGGCTTGCAGCATCTGTGGAAGAGAGAGCAGAGAAAGGAAGAGCGACAGAATGATCTGGCTTAGTAGTAGAGAGAGAGAAAGAAAATAGATTAGAGGAAGGTGGGGGGGGGGATAATTGACAGTCAGGTGATCTTGCATTCATTTTTACTCAGTCGGCGGGCTGTTGATTCCCCCACATATGAGTACAAAATCAGATCGGATCAAGTGTTTGCCACACGATCTACATAGTATTAATCCAACCGAGATCTTATCTGGTCATACGGAGTACGAGTAGAAGCTTGGAACCAGATCCACCATCCAAAGCGGCATTAGTGACCGGTGCGTGCGGCGTGTGAGTCCCCACTGCTATCGGCCTATCTGATCATGCAACAAACAGGGAAAATCTATGCAACACGATTTGGGATTAATCGATAGAGTGCATTGCTTGTTTGTCGAACAATCAATCGAGATAATTGTCAGCCTGCGCCCACCCTGCATCATCGAGGACTGTCTTTCCTCGGCGGGCCACCAAATACCCACAATCCAAACTACACCGCACCACCGCATGACCCACCCCATTGTCTGTGTGTTGATCGAACCTAACAACAACTCTGCCAGTGGCAGTATCTTCCCCTGTCAGAAAGCAGAAGGCCAATCACATTCATGAGCGAGCTGCAGAAATCCTTCGCCAAATATAAATTGGCCAAGCTCTCGCACCAGCTACCCCCCCACGACCTGTCCGCGACTCCGTCTGCTTCTATGTACCCCCTCAACGAGGAGCAGGGAGAGTCCAGTCACGATGAGGACTACTCCTCCGCTTCGTCCACTGGCACGATAATTCCTTCGGCCAGTCGCAATCTATTCGCCAGACCAAATGGTAGTCGCGGGTAAGGATATCGTCCAGTCACCAGCCAGTGCTTCTTAACAACCATCTAAATGCCTCTTTAGATCCCCCCAAACAAGCTTAAGCTGGACCGAGTTCTTCACTCAAGACCTGCATCTCACTCAGGTCGACTCCAGCACTAACACGCGCATCACCCACCATGTATACCTCACGCCCCCCGCCGACTCCGGTAGTCCGCTCTTCGTGATGCACCACGGCGCCGGCTCCTCAGGCCTTTCGTTCGCCGCGTGCGCCGAGGAGATCCGCAAGCTCCTCCCCAACGCAGGCATCCTATCGCTCGATGCTCGTCACCACGGCGGCACGGTAGTGACGACAGCCTCCACCGCCAACGACGAAGGGGACGACAGGGCCCCTCAAGAAGATGGAGGCTCACCCGCTCTCGATCTCAGCCTGGAAACCCTCAACGGGGATCTCGTCTTCGTCGTCCGCGAAACCCAGCGCAAGATGGGCTGGGACAGTCTTCCAGACCTGATCCTCGTCGGGCACAGCCTAGGCGGTGCCGTGATAACGGACGTCGCAAAGACCGGCGACCTAGGATCCAAAGTACTGGCCTATGCCGTTCTAGATGTTGTTGAAGGTTCGTCCTTCGCAACCACAGACCCCTACTCGGACTCTTCCCCCGGAATTCTCTTCTGCACCACCGCTACCTCCCACTGTTACTCTGAAATTAAGAGGAAACCCAATAAATCTGACCACTCTCAAAAACAGGATCCGCGATGGACGCCCTCCAAAGCATGGAAACATACCTCTTAACTCGTCCCTCCCGCTTCCCTTCCATAGCATCCGGCATAGAATGGCAGTAAGTCAACCACCACCCCCTCCCAAAGCGCTTCGCGCCTTACGAAATAGTCTTCTAATCTCAAATGCCTGGAACCAAAAAGCACCCGCTCGCGCACAATCCGCAACAAAACCTCCGCCCGCATCTCCGTCCCCTCCCTTCTCTACGAACAACCCACCCCGACAGACCCCACCAAACCCTGGGTCTGGCGCACCAACCTGTCCGAGACCAAGCCCTTCTGGGAGAACTGGTTCATCGGCCTGAGTCGGAAGTTCCTCGATGCGCGCGGCGGCAAACTACTCCTGCTGGCGGGGACGGATCGACTCGATAAGGAGTTGATGATCGGGCAGATGCAAGGTACGAACGAGTGACCCCCCCAGCCCAGATTATTCCCATAGTAACTCGTACCTTTCTTGCGGTGATGTGAACTTCCAGCAGAAGGAGGTTTGGGGCTCGAGGAGAAAAGAGAGCTAACATTGATCAAATGGATGAACCTTTTAGGCAAATACCAATTACAGGTTCTACCGGAAGCGGGCCATTTCATTCAGGAGGACCAGCCAGCCAAGACGGCGCAGATCCTGGTGGACTTCTACAAGAGGAATGACCGAAGTGCGTTGGTGCTGCCGCCCAAGGTGGCGGACATGCAGGCTCAGGCGGCCATGAACAAAGGAAACGGCGCTGGGCTAGGCTCCGGAGCTGGGGCCTTCAGGAGGGTTTAGAAGGTATATACGACTAGATTGTATGTCTTGTATGTTTTGTTGAGAGGGTTTATCTGTGTATAGGTGCAAATTCAGGTATGAAGAAATAAAAGTGTACAGATTATAACGAGATCTGTGTTGTTGTGTTCTGGTTTCTTCACAGAGGCTCCCGCTCCAACATTGAAACAAAATGCTGCCTGCCAAATAAACACCAAAAGCCCGCTGGCCATTCCATTTGCATTTTCCATCCAGGACGCCGCCAAATCATTCAGCCAAATCATTAACGAATACATGCGGCAATGCAATCAGGGAGGAAACAAGATGTTTCGACAGAAAAGCAGATTGAGGTGATAAAATTGAAATAAAAAAAGATAAAAGAAAAAGAGAAACGGGTATCTGGCGCCACTGTGCATGCAATTCACATAACCCTTCTCCTCCGTCGACCCCTTTCAAGGAAGATAAGCACCTCCAGCCATGATCAAATTCATATTGGTGAACTTGACCTTGTATACTGGACTTTTCTTGGTCGGGAACGCGCTGATCTGGTCAGGCGTTACGACCACATCCTTGCCCTTCTTCTTGCTTCCAATGCCAGGTCCGACGGAGCTGGAGGCTTGTGTGCTGGCTGCAGGGGGATTGCCGCCGTCGACCTTGGTTCCTGCGCCGCCCTCACCGACAACCCGACCCTGAGACGGATCCTGTGCAGGACCAGCCACGTCCCAGACACGGACGGTACCGTCAGCACCGCCAGAGACTAGAATATTCGATTCGACGCTCCAGCTGAGGGACCAGATGCCACCCTTGCCATGACCGCGCATGCGCTTGAGAAGTCGTCCTGGGGCCAGGTCCCAAAGAAGGATTGACCCGTGGTCATCGGCCGATGCGAGGAGCTTTCCATCACGGCTACAAGACAGAGCTGTAATGTTTCCTGTGTGGCCAGTGAACATACGGACGGCATTTCCTGTAGTCACGGCCCACATGCGCACGGTGTGATCGGAGCTACCGGTGAAGATATACGCCGAGTTGGGGTGAAAGCAGACGCAGTCGACATCCTGGTCGTGTCCGACGAAGATACGTTGTTGACGGATGTGGTCGGTGACCCAGAGACGAGCGGTCTTGTCATGGCCACCAGACACGAAGTAGTGACCGAATGGGCCCCACTGCAAATCCCAAACGGGCTGATCGTGGCCCTTGTAAACTACCATGCATTGCCACAGATCCAGGGACCAGAGACGGATGGTTCGATCGGCTGATGAAGAGAGCAACCAACGGGCATTAGTCGGCGCAATGGCATTGTCGGCACGCGTAATAGAAGGCGCGAATGCTACAGAGTAGACAGGTCCAGCATGCCCTATCAGGCGACGAGAATTTGAGGGCGCATCATCCACATTGTCGTACGTTGACTGGATTTTCTTCCCATCCATGCTCCAGACCCGAATATAAGATTCCTGCATACCAGCCGCAACGAGCATAAGGTCATCGGAGAAGTCCAGGCAGTTGACGCTGTATATAGTCAGTCGCGGGACATCATGACAAGCACGAAGGTAGGTACTACTCACCCATCGTAGGTATTATGGAATGTGAACATGCATACACTAACGGCCGGCCCAACACCACCGGTTCTACCTTCGATCCTAAACCTGTCGCGGTTCTCTTTGACCCTTTGAACTTCGATCGCGACATCTCGAGCGGTTGATGGGGGATAGGGAATATCAGCGCGAGTAGGCGCCTCTTCGTCATCCTCTTTCTTGATCATCTGCTCAAACTCTTGGATCAAAGTGTTTTGGCCCGGGCCAGGAGGATGCTTGAAGTCTTCGTCCGCGAGCTCGCCGCGTACATCAGTCTCCAGGGTCGACTCAAGTGGTAATTTTCCAAGCTTCAGTCTAGGCAAGGTTCCGGCCATGTTCGGGTTATCTCCGGTGTAAGCAGACCCGGGGTGGTGACCAGGAATACCCTCATCTTCGCTGGGAAAGGTCTGGGTGCCATCACTTTGGCCAAGCATCGCGGCGAAACTAAATCGGTCGTCCGAAGTGCGCTCTTTTGTGATAATGGTACAGTAACTGCTCAGGATGGCAGTCATATCAGACCCACCCTCCTTCTGCTTGCTCTCCAAGAATTGCATCAGGTTTGAGAATGCCGGGTTACTCAAGACCAAGCGGTACTTGTTAGTTCTATAGAGCTTGGCAGTAGCGTTGTCCTGAACATGTTCTGGGAGACTGATTGGCTCCAAAGCGCGAACATCTTCTGTGTGCTCCGGCAAGAAGAGGTTCTTGTTCATGTCGAAGAATTGTTTCGCCTCTTGGGGCTTAAACGAGGACACCATGTTGATGAAGGTGTAGACAAAGAGCGGCCACAGCACACGTCTGAGTTCAGGCTGTCGAGGGTTTCTAAGCATTTATTCATCTGCAGGCCTTAGTACGAAGGGCATACCTTGTACAGATCCAAGTTATCTTCAACCCAGACCTTGAGCAGATCTATAACAGCATTAGACAAATGAGAAACAAGAGTAGGACGAACTTACCGAAGCCGAGCCGGTACTTAGGACGCGCATCTTCGCCAAGAGGGGGCATAGGCGGGCGGCCATCAATCTCTTGATGCGCCGATTCTATGCGCAGCATAGCCTCTGTGCGACTATAGCCTTTCTTGGCCAAATAGTCAATGACCTGGTTTTTAGACATTTGTGTCAGTATTTGACGAAGCACCGATCATGAAACTTTGGTTGATATCAACAAGTGTAGATATCACAGCAGGTGCGTTCCTAGTTGAAGAAGCGATGATACCCAGCAACACTCGAAGCCCAAAGGATAACCAGATTCACATGTTTAACAGCTTCTCTAGCTTGTCTCTCTTTGTTAATAGCGAAAGCGGCCGGTGGACGGTAAGGCAATCTGAAGCACCTTCACGGCACCTTCACTGCGACATCTGCCAAGTGAATGCACGACAACATGCCTGAACCCGCACAACACGCCCATCTCCGCAAGAACCACCTTCCGCGGCACAGAACACAACAGACCCAGAAACGAGAGACGAATACATACTATTTGATTGAGATTTTGCTGCGACATTGGACCCCCCGGCGGCGGCGGCGGCGGAGCAGGGGGGCCAGGCGTCACAGGGCCGGTGTTGGTCATGGGTTGTTGAGGAGGCATCGACATCCCACCTGGACCGGGCCCCATACTTCCACTTCGGGGAGCTGGGCTCGGGGCCCCGCCTGGCGCAGACATGGCTGCTGGATAATTTGACAGGGATGATTCAACGGTGGGGGGGGAAAGCTCCTATATGCCGAGCAAAGGACTTGTCCAGTTCACTAAAGCGAAAGATGCGACGGCGCTCAGAAGAGACTAGCAAAGAGAGAGGAAGAGACCGACACGCGGACGGGGAGGGAAAGCAGTTCGGGATGCGATTCAATCCGGAGGTTTTGCGAAGTCCGCAGCTTAAGGACACTATCCCTTTTGTGGACTAGCGTGTGACTGGCCCCTGGTTCCATCACGTGATGATATGCTATGCTCAATCATGGATAGATGCACAGGAGCCCCGTTTATGCACCTATCGTCATCAAAGAGCAAACACTGGCATATTGCTGCAATTCAACCCGTGTCTGACACTGTCCAGAGCATCATGGCCGAGTCTGGCAACAATTCTAGGTCTCCAGACCAAGTCTTCACTTCCGCCGATCGCATTCGGCAGCTTAATGAGATCGACAAGGTAAGCTACCTACCCTCTGGAGAAGTGAGAGCTGCGACAACGTGCTCGAAGATGAAAGTCGAACTACTCACTAGTCGCACTGCAATACCATCTGAGACTATGTACTAATTGGAATTGTGTTAAGGATGTCGCTCAATTGATTCACTCCGCCGGTCTCGCTATCCAAGCCCTTACCAACGCCCGAACCACCGACTCTCCTGCTGAGAACAACTCCTTAGCCGCCCACAAAACACGCTTCAAAGAGGCCACATCGCAGTACTTTGCGCTTCTCTCGTCCATTGATGTTCGACTGCGACGACAGGTGTACGCCCTCGAGGAGGCCGGGATTCTCGCGCCGGAGACGGCCGCGACCGCAACGAACTCCCGCACAGGCGAGTTAGCTGGGGCTGGTGCGGCAGCGGCGGCCGCATCGTCAAACCCGCTGGATGTGAGCTGGCTCAACAGTCGGAAGGACACGGTTGGGAAGGATAAAGAGGCAGAGCTGTGGGCCGCGGCAAGGGAGTTTGTCGAGCAGCTCGCTCGGCATGGGCCTTCGTCGGCAACCGCTAGACATGAGTCGAAAACGGAGGGTGGGCAGGACGACATGGAGATGGACTGATGAACGATGGTCTGAATGAGGCACACGCATGCTTTTGAGCAGATGCTATCGACTTCTGCATTCGGGTGTCGACGATTGGAGGATCGCAACAACCATTTGCGTGGGCAATGGTTTGTTAAAAGTACGAGTCTTATGATACCCAAGCTTATTTATACAATTGTGTTGATTCCGCACGACGAAGCTTTGAGCCATTGTTGGGCTCAGGTGAGATCTCTACAATAAAAGTGCCAGAGTCAAACTGTGATCGGATCCCCAGGAACCTCAAAACTACATATAATTAAGTGAATGGCAAACTCGCAGGATAGAAAGACGAACGTCTAGATGATGTTGACAGGTACAACATCCGCTTGTTTTTACAACTCCAAGCAATGAATGTGGCTACCGCTGCATGGATCTGATCATCTCGGCGTGATTAGCCCGCTCCTTGTTCGCCTCTGTCAAGGACGAAAGACCTGCAACACGTCAGTATTATGGTACCATGCATTTCCGCAGCAGGAGAACTCACTGCGCAGTTCACCGACAACATCCTTGGCCTTGCCAAAGTATACCTCCTCTGCAAGAGTCTTCACGTTAGTCTTCGTCCAGTGCTGTACGCGCTTGCGTCTGGGTGCAGAGAAATTGAAACACATACGCAGCAGGTTTCTCATCTTCAACTCCATATCCTCCACAAGCCGGCCGACGTTTGCAACGTGGCTTGCATCCGACTCAACGGGCAGATCGACCTCGACCTGGCGGGTCATGTTACCGCTGAGGTCCATCTCACCCAGAGCCTCGGACTCGTTCGCCAGGTGGAGGATGACCGTGCTGGTCAATTTGTAGTGGGACATGCGAGCTCTGTCAGTAGCCTCGAAGACGTGGATGCTGTCCCACTCTCCCGAGCTCTTCGCACCAGGGGTGACTCCTATTACCGTACCACATCGCGTTAGCAACGAGGCCAACCATCATTTTGTCCACCTTCCTGTAACCAAGCTCCACAAGTTCTCCGTTCTTTCAGTATAGGAGATAGAAGCTGACGCACCTTTCTTGAGAAGAATCACGCCCGCAAACCCATCGTCCAAGTCCCAAAAGTAGACGCTTCCCACGCCGCCCTCGTAGTATAACTCCCGGTAGACATCGAAGGCCTCGTTGGCAGCAACCTCGAGCTTTCTCACCCGGTCACTTGGTACCGTTCCGTCATCGAGAGGGGGGTCGAATTCGTTGCTCCAGGGTGACCGGTAGCTGTCACCATCCCGGTTGTAGTCGCAGAGCAAGTAATCCCGGTTGGTCTTGGGGCAGCGGCGGACCTCCAGGGGCTGATCAACGGACGATAAGAGATCTTCGGTCAGGTCAGGGACGATGGTGGTGATCGCCTGCAAGTTCTGCTTGGTGTCGCGGGGGTTGAGGCGCCGGAGCAGGTCCCTGAGAGCAGCACGATGTTGGTGGTCAGCGGGATGCTGCAAGCGGGGTTGCAAGGCGAGGGGTTGACCTTGGCCGATGCGGACAGAGAGGGGAGCTTGCTTGGAGGAGTTGGAGGAAGGTGAAGTGTTGAAAGAAGGGTTCAGCTAAGACAAACTTACAGCGCACTATCATATTGTGCGTCAGCCATGATTGTGACGGGTTTGTTGGAATCAATCCTGTAGTGTTTAGGTTGCTGTTTACTTCCTAGTTACCTCTCAAGCCCCCGGGGGGGGGGAGAGACCGGACGGAGTGACGGTGGATTACTGTAAGCGGTGTAGCGCGGCTGGTTGGAGAAAGCGGGTCCATTGAGGCCTCCCCCTTATCACTCCAGTAAGTATATACTTTGATTTGCCTTGTCCATGCTTGAAAAGAGCCTCAACCAAGCTTTGCTACAATAAGAAAAGGTCCTGGCTTTATGGAAAGCTATTTCAAGTCATTACAGAAATATGCCTTGCTGTTAGAGAGATATCTGTCTTTTTTGGCTCTTCAATGATAGCAAGCGGGATAACATTACAGAAGTGATTAAGGCGAAGATAGGCAAATGGAAAGCGATCAAGTATGATTCCTCGAGTAACCATCTGTGTCTATTCAATACATACTCAGGTCTAAGTGATGTGTCTAGAGCAGTGTGTTGACGACTCCTAAGCTACGCTAGAGTATCGCACCGAGGCTATTTCCATTGATACCACCACCGAAGGCATATTAGGTAGCCGTATGGAATGCCGCTCATCACTTCTCGCCTGGTAGATACTGCAGTTCTCAGTGCTTGCAAATCTTAATAAGACGGTTTCATGTGCACGTAATGACCTCGAACTTGGTGACCTAGAGATCCAGACTAGACCAACCAGCTTCACTGAGACTTTCTGTGGCTTCCAAGTTATGATGCTGTGAACTCTCTTCAATAATCAATTCGTGCGGAAGCCCGCTCGGCTGGACATGGTATATTGGAAGGGCACAAACTGCTATAGGACATCCCATTATGCAGGCTGAAGCAGTCATCAAGTTCATGGTCGAGCCAGGCAGTATGGTATTCTTCACGCTGAGTGAGCTCTTCATGGCCCACTATGAGAGTTCATTGCAGGGTCATACAACGGATGCCCAAAAAGAAAAAAAGTAAGCCAACCTTTTCTACCAATCGAAGGGTATATCCTGCCGAAAAGCAACATGCAGTGTGAACGGACACTTAACCAAATAGAAAAGTCCACCATCAACCGTCGCTATCATCGCTCATGACGAATTGGCGGCTCCGCCGCTTTTTCTCAACGCTTCTGTCCAAAAGAGTGGACATGTCAGGGAAGTTTTCACCCATGTCCTCCGTCATTTGTGAACAGAATAATGAATCGTCTGTTGCTGTCTCTACAGCCGAGGGCTGTATCTTCGAATTCCTCGGCATTTTATCTGTGCCATCCCCTTCCCCATTTGACTTGCGTTTCACGGGGAGAACGAAATCTGATACTGTGCGCTGGGTGCGCCTGGCACCACAATCACGGCTGCTCATGTCGCCGGTGGTGCCTGGAATATCCTCATACTTGTCTGGACTCAGCGCCAAGACACGCCTATATTGCTGCTCACAGTCCGCGGAAATCTGATCCATTTTCTGCAGAGTCCCAATCATGCGGCGAGTCAGAGACCCATGTTGTACTGCTTTAGTAGGCCGAGGAGCGAGCTGAAGGCGAGGGAATGCGTCAGTTCGAGGATTGCAGATCGACGGTGCATCGGACTGTCCTGCCTTGCCGTAATGAACATCAAGCTCGTTTTGCTGCGCTGGAGTAAGCAGGACATCTTCGAGCGCCGGGAGATCAACGGGCTCCGGAGTCGGCGTGCGAGCCTTACTTTTCTTTGCCTCCCTACGCTTGCCGCCTTCAGCCAAGCTGGACGCTTTCGTGAAGCCTGTTTCCACATTATCCGGCATGTGGAATTTCTTGGGTGGCCTCTTTGGAGGTCGGCCTTTTCGCTTGGGCTCAGGCAGCTCTCGCACAGTATTCTCCTCGGGTATCTCAATCGCCCGTTTATCAGCTACAGGCCGGATCCCAGACGGAAGGATACGAGGGGACTGGTCTTCATGAAAAGTAAATCGGGTGCCGCTAGCAATCATCTGTTGCATCTTCTCATAATTGTCCTTGGCTTTGACATAGGACTCTTCCTCCTTGCCTTGCATGAGAAGCAACACAATGTTACCCGCTCGTTTGCGACCCGTACGTCCCATGCGTTGAAGCATGCGAATGGGTGACGCGGACGAGTCGTAACAGACGATCAGGTCGACTTCGCCGATATCCAAACCCTCCTCCCCTATCGAAGTTGCGACGATCGTGTTGTAAGTACCGCTCTTGAACTTCTGAACAATATCGAGTTGAGTTTTCTGGTTCATTCCTTCTGAGCCCTTGGCGCTACTCTGTCCGACAAAAACATGGGGCCGGATCATCGGCTCGTACCTTTTGAGGACTCGCGTCACCTCTTCGGCGCTGTCCCGGAAATGCACGAAGATCATGACTCTGGTTGCTGGTTTCGCCTGGTCCTCGCCTGTACCCGCACCTTCGCCCGCGTCCATGAAATGGTTCAAGACAACCTGCTTTAAGTACTCTAGCTTGGGATGGCCAATGAATTCTGGGTTCTTAGTCCACGGCTGCAAATGGTTCATAAGTTTCTTAAAACTTTCATCTTGAACAACTTGTCGTTGGTATTTGCCACCCTTCTGCCCATCAGTGTTGGACTGGAAATGTGCAAGATGACGGTAGAACGGAGTGATTCCGTGATATTTCAAGAGGTCAATCCCATGGGCAAGACTGGCAAGCACGGTAAAGATAGCATTTACTTTGCCCTTTAACCCGAAATGTGCATTCCGACCAACGTCTGACATCATCCACTGCTGTCTGGCTTTTGTCAATCCGAATGCAGTAAGTCCCATAGGATCACGGCCCCAGTACGCATTGAGACTCCGAAGCTGGTCAACTAAAGGTTGGAGAGTCTTCGTTAATAAATCCATGCACAGAACCATTTCCTCGGAATTCCGGAAAGTCTGAACTTCTATGTCCTTTGCATGAACATATTCCCGGATATCAAGGGATTGTTCCGTGCGGATCTCAACTCGGGAAATGTCCAGCCCATCAATTACTGCCTGGACGGCCTCCACCGTGGAGCCAGGCGTTGCAGTTAAAGCGAGGACACGGAAACTTTGATTGTAACGTCGAAGGAATTTAACAACTTCCACGTAGGCATACCCTCCTGTGGCGCGATGCGCCTCGTCTACAACAAGCAAAACGATGCGCTTAGGATCTGCAATCCCGGTCTTGAGATCGTTGACTAAGGTCTGAGGGGTCATGAAGAACACGCGTTTAGCCTTCCATTCCTCAGCTCTGACGCCAGGGGCAGCTTCGCCGGTGAGCATTGTGGTCTGGGATCGTGGAACTCCTGCAATTTGAAAGCATGCGTCTATCTGTTGAGCGACTAGCGGCTTCGTAGGAGCGACAAATACGATCTGAGCGTCTTTGGTCCATCGTAGCCAGTTCAACATAATGGTGGCTGCAATGAAGGTTTTACCTAGACCAGTGGGCAGCGCAACGAGTAGGTTGTGGAATAATCCTTTCTGGGCGATGTTGAACTGGTAATCTCTGGTTTTCCCCAGATTGGTGGGATAGACCCATGTATCTAGAGCTTCCTGATTCAATTTATGTTGCGTCGGGGGCTCGACTTTTTCGGGTGGTGAAATGAACTGCTCGCCACGCGGGGGCTGGCTTGCTGGACTTCGGACTGCCATGTCAAATAAAGTGGTCTGCCGAACACCCAGTGGACGATTTACACTCTGCGTAAAAGTGCCTGATACCGGTCGACCATGAGCTGGGGGAGGAGGAGACAAGGATAGATCGGAGTCAAAAGCATCGTCCGGTATGTCGTCTAGGAATTCTGCAGGAATATCCATGGCATCGCCTGTTTGTTCACTTGAGGAGCGATCCACCGATGGAGGCTTCAGGTGATTGGAAGCTGTCTTGTGGGACATTTTAGAGCTTTCTTCTTCGAACGATTGCAACGAGGCCTCAATGGCCGCCTTCAAGGCGTCATCGTCTTCAAGTTCATCATGTGTCCCATCACCGCCGCCTCTTCCGTTGACTGCGTATGTTGCCGGAACGTTCGTTGGGGGTGGTAACTCTGGGTCTGGCTTCTTCCATCGCGGGCCTCGAATCATTTCTGGAGGTGATTGAGGCTGCGTGAGTTGGGTGACGAAGATGTTCTCCTGGACATTTCTGTTCTTTGGCACGAACAGTTTATACTTGGAATGCGCCTCCGGCTCCTCAGAATCGCGAAAGTAATGTGATGCTCGGACTGGAGACTGCAGCTCCTCGTCCTCGTCTTCGCCAGAGTCAGGCAAAGCCTCTCGCGTGTCACGTCGGTCATATTGATTCTTTCGCAGTGATAGGTTCTGCTTGTTGGCTTCCAGGCGACGGCGTTTGGCCGGCCTGGGAGAATCCCGTTCTGTTGGCGTGGCGGCGGCATCAGAGTCATCGTCAACAACGAAATCTCCGAGATCATCATCAAAATAGTCGGAAGAGTCCCCTTCCAGGTCAGACATGTCGAACCCAACGTGGTTCGTTGGGATCAAAGCTGCTGCAGGTTTGAGCTGGCCATGTTCATAACGCGACGCGTCGGCTCGCAATCACATGTTGGCTTAGTCATGAAATGTTCATGATTTCCTGATTTGGCATAACCGCTCGTCCTCCGCTCAGCTTCGACTCAGTGGAAAGACTCAGCTACGAAGACAAACCCCCATTTTGTTCCAAGGCAAAGGGTGTCTAGATACCACTTGTGAAGTGCTCTGGCTATTGTGCTTCTGGACTGTCAACAAAGTCAAATTCAATTGACCGAAGTCGCATATACACCCCACTCATGTTGTGGAACTTCGTCAGGCGCACAGTGAGAGTCTCCTCGGCCACAAGCAATGACCACGAGTGGGATAGATGGTTTTTACAATAGGTTAGTTATCGACTGAGTGCTAGAAACTTCCATCAAGTCTTCGCAATCCAACATTGATGTTCTGGGCCACATTGAATCAAGAGAGCCAAATTTGGGTGGGCTATCTATTTAGCGTGCTCACCAAAACAACCAAAAGGAAAAAAATAAAGAATATAAGTAAAGCACGAGCCAGAATGGCGGACAAGGCAGTTAGTTGCCTTGCAACTTTTAGTAGTAGTCAATAAATCAGACTAAGCTAACTAGTTATTCTGTACGGAGTACGGAGTACTTTAGCACTTCGCAACTGTCACCGCACTGGGAAACATAAGGAGTAGAAGATCGAAACTCTGATGTGTGCAGGTGTGCCATGTCCGGAATGATTCAGGATTTGATAGTTGGCCAGACAGCACCTGAAGATCCTGTGGTGTAACACCGGATTCAATATTTTGTAGGGATGAGAGAAGGCAGCTCCAATCAATCTGGGGGTCTTGGAGTAATGGAGACCAGGAGCGATCCGTAGTGTTGCAGCCACGGAACTTTAATCACCCATCACCTTGATGATTCCAAGCAAGCGCCCTTTCGTTTTGTGAGCAGTCTTGTGGTTGCTCGTAAGGAGACTACACTGTAAGATTATTATTAGGATCTCTGCACTATGCAGGCTGCAGGCTGCACTCCAGAGATTCTTGACAGACCTTTCCGCATGACCTTCACTCACTGCCACTGCCACTGCCACGAGCAATCAATCAGCTCATTGTTCTGGCTCAAATTAGCCAAGCGAAGAGCCGGGCTTATCAGCGCCCAGTTTCTCTCCATGGGTGTGGAGTAGCCAGCGAAGAGGCGGATAAGAGCTTTGAGCAATGGGTGGACGCAGAACGAGACTAAGGAGGACTAAAGTCAGACTAACAGCGACGGTAGTGCCACTCCAGGGTTATTTTTGGGGCCGATCCCTCCTTGGGATCCATTTAGACTGCTTGGACTCTGGAGGAGTCCCCAGATTTTCCAAGGGTCTGTCCACCCTTCGCGCTTCACCGGGAAATTGTCTCCTTTGAGTGAGACAAAAGTGGACTTGAAGTGGAGTTTTGAGCCGGGCTTCTTTTAGATCTGTTCGCGGATTAGGGGCCACCTCCGTCACTGAATTCTAGTCTTTGTATCAACAGGTCAGTCAGTCACTTGAAAGAAGAATCTCTGTAGATTATTGTAGATAGCAAGGGCAAGCGAAAAGACAGACTTAGGGGTAGGAGAAGCAAGCATGGGGCCGTCGAAATTGCCATTAATGTAAGGGTGAGCAGGACTGAGCAGGACTGCGCAGGACTAATCAGTTCAGTCAATCAATGAATCAGTGAATCAGTGAATCCGTGAATCCAGTCCGTCAGGTCGTCGGCTAGTCGGGGGAGGCCGAACAGCGCATCTTAACCAAGTTGTTGCCAAAAGAGTCGTGCCACTGGATGTGAAGGAGGCCAACCACTGGCTGAAACCCCGCTAATCACTTCACAAGTGAATGAATCGAATGGACTTAACAGGCACTAAATTCAATTTCCCGCCACTGTTTTGTTTTCCCTTTTTGCCTACTTTTTCAAACAAATTACGGAGAACGGAGTACTTCTATCTTCTACTTCTTCTTCCTCTCTCTCTCTCTCCTCTTTCTCTTCTTCTCTTCTCCTTCTCTTCCTCCTCAACAGTCTTTCGTTATTCCATACTTTGCGCTCGCTCGTTACTCGCTTCTTTCGGGCTCTCAAAAAGTAAACCTAACGTCTGTCTCTACATCAATCACATCTACTGTCAAGATGAAGTTCAACAGCGCTCTCGCTCTCTCCTCCCTTCTGGTGCTCGCCGTGGCCCAGGACACCAACTCTACCTCCACTGCCAGCGCTGCCACTGCGACTGCCAGTCTGTCTGCTCAGGCCAAGTGCGCCGAGTCCTGTACGGATACATCTCTTCAATTGCCTTACTTGCCCATCTACCCATACACACTATCCTTCCGTCTTCCTTGACTGCAGAACCAAACCATAGAACCACCCCATTCTAATCCACTATACAGGCGCCTCCAGCGACATCTGCTGCATTGCCAAGTGCTACAATGTCCCCTGCCCCAACGACTCTCAGGCCAACGACACCACCAGCTGCGTTGCTGCCTGCCCCCAGGGTAACGGCTCCACCAGCGACACCGACGCCTACGCCAGCTGCCAGAGCCGTTGCGTGAGCAGCTACTTCTGGTCCAGCGCTACTGCTACCGCCGGCTCCTCCGCCAGCACCGCCAGCTCCAACGATGGTACCACCACCACCGGCAGCGGCAGCAAGTCCTCCTCCACTGGTTCCAGCAGTAAGTCATCCCCCTTTTGTTTTCCCTAGTGGCATCACCGGATTACCTGAACCCATGACACTAACCCACGTTTTCCCCCCTGCTCAGAGTCCGGCTCCTCGGACTCGACCAGCACCGCCACCAGCACCGGCGCCTCCTCCAGCGAGACCTCCAACTCGGCCGCCATCACTCAGTTGAAGATGGGAGTCTCCACGGTCGGTCTATTGGGCTTCGTCCTCGCCGCCTGGGCCCTGTAAATCTCTCCCGCTTACAGAACGGAAGCGAGATGTCACAGAAGCTTTTTCAAACCAGCAACGGCACACAAACTTTTTTGTCTTAGTACATATGGGAAATTGAATGAATGAGGGCGGGCAGGAAGGGAAACATGATTAATTTTATTTTGCACTCTAATGGGATATCACACTTCACACGCGCACACGCACACACACACACACACACACACACACACACACACACAGCAGCAGCAGCCTTTGTTTTGCTTCGTCTACTACTACTCTTGCACACACTTTGTTGACGTTGTCATAATAACTTACTACTACCTTGACTGTCTGTCACTAATACTACCCACAAGCGCTTGCTTCTCTTAGCAGAATTTAGTATTATTGTATAACAATCATATCTGTGTTGCAGCTTGTCCTATCCTGCCATAGCCTTTGTCAGTATAAATGCTGTTCTTGGCATCATTACGGTACTTGTTTCCCGGGTTGAAAAGAGGTCGAGCGCCAACCCATTAACCCCACAAGAATCAGGTGCCGTGCTGTACTCCCAATACCACCATGACTTCATCACAGAAGGCAAACCAGGCGAGTGAACAGTATGAACAGTTCACAAATGACGAACGATGACCACAAGTGCAGGCAGGCAGGCAGGCAGGCAGGCAGGCAGGCAGGCAGGTAGGCAGGTAGTTGTAGTGGATCGGCTTAGTTCATGTCGATCATGAATGGGTCTACACGCAGCTCGACTCCACTGCTGTGAGACTGCTCCCACTCGTCATAGGGTGGTTGATTTGGTGAATACACATCTCTCCACACGAGCTTCCCCCGCATTCTTCAGGTACAAGGATGACCAAGGTTTGTCATTCCATGAATCGACCTCAAAAGTATCAACACAAAATAAAAACTTCTCAAGGTAAAGTCGATCCCCGCTGGCAACACGTATACAAGAGTCAGTGCCCGAACAAAATCCTTATCTATCTGATTTGAAGTACAGTATTGAGTATGAAACACAGTTCAGAATGCAATGTCACCTCGCGAGAGGAGCAGACAGGGCGCCGGTATAAGAGCAGCAAACGTTCATATGGATGCAATGATTGAATCCAGCTCCGGACTTTGGTCAACGGTCCTGCCATCCAAGTTGTTCACTACCCCCGCGCCAGGAAAAGATCGTTGACTCTGGTGCAGGCGTGGACGATAATGCTCTAGGGTAATATGCAATGGGCATTAGTAAAAGCGGAGAAGAGTGGAAAACAAAATCCCAGGCACGCCAACGCCCATTCCAATGTAATGTCCAGATAATTGTAGATTAGTCCAATCATGAAGATGCCACTCCAAAACATCATGTTCGGCCACTGTTGATGTCAGACCCGGTCTCGCGCAAAATCCAGGACTTCACAGTCATCCTCAAAAAATCCATCGTCAACTCCATTGCCCGAGGCCAATGCTGAAGTGGATTTCTTCTTCCGACGGGTTGTGATTACCACTTCTTCGACGTTTCCGGTACTGTTCCCGAGGCTGATCAGATTCTCCATTTCCTCACCGAAGCCCTGGTGGTTCTCTTGCATCAAGTCGTCCTCGTCGTCTTCACTGTGGGAGCTGAAAGGACGGACGTGGAGCTTGGACGTCGGCAAAGAGCCTCCAAAGACCCACTGACCAGTCGGGACCGATGTCTCAGCGTCATTCATTTCGGAATAAACAAAGAGGTTTACCCTCTGATCAGTGTGGAAAGGCTGATATGGCGTGTTGGTCTCAATTTCCGCCTGCGAGAGGGGCTGAGACTTGAGCTTCGATGACGCAGGGGGACGGGCAGTGGAAGAGGGCAAAGCCAGAGTAGCCCAGACATTGGTTTCTGCGCCAAGAGTCCCAACGGTCAGAGGGCCGCAAGGTGTCTGCAGAATTGGAGGTAGTCGAAATTCCAATGCCTTTTCTCCAATGGCTGACTGCAGCTGCCGATTCCGATTGGCGGACATCGAGCGCTTGATTCGATATAGGCGGAAGAACCCCCCATCTAAAAGCCCCAGGAAGGGCATGCCCTTGCTGATTACCCAGGTTACACGGGATGCAACTGGGTCACGGGAGAGCCCGGACAGATGCAGGCGATGCTCGCCGCCATGTCGAAATGTATTGACTGTTTTAACCGTGCCGGTCGCGGCGGCTCCCATTGATTTGCTCAGACCAGCGGCAACGGCCTTGCCACTAACACCAGCAGTGGAAGGAATCGTGAATCCACCCATCGAGTTGAAGGCCGCACCAGTCGAAGGTGCACGACCCCTCACTGCGGCAAGAATGGGCTGTGTCTTACCTCCAACCATTTTGAAGGCTGCTGACAGGGGATTTGCGGCGGCCGCCCGGTCAGACAGCTCCTCGGCTGGAAGATCATTGGTAGGGGCCTTGGTAGGCTGTGGTCTAGCTCGACGGAAAGGGGGCCACTGGAAAGCGGATCGTGGCAGGTCAAACACATGCACCGTGGGCTTACCGGTGATGATTGCAAGTTTGTCGCCAGACGGAGGACACCATACCACGTCTATAATGCGGGATGCTGTCAACCGCGAAAACCTCGCGACCTGCCGCACGCTCGGTTGCGCAGATGTGGGGTCGTCGGAGAGTAAAGCCCCTGCCCGGCAATACTTCGCCTGCAGAAGATCCCAAACATACTGGACGTCTCCTTTCTTACTCACGGTAAGCAACATCAAGCCATTGGGAGAGAAAGAAAGAAAGCTACAGCCATTGGGCACTTGAAATGTGGTCATGGAACCGAATAAAGCGTTCTTTGTCTCAGTGCCCTCTTCTAGTCTCTGTAAGTCCGTCACTGAAACTAGATCCGGCTCAGCAGGGGATGCGGTCTGGGTTTCCTGAGAGTGCGTGGGGGGAAAGATGTTGTAGCCCTGCGGTGAGAAATCCATCAGGTTGGGAGATCGACGTGATGAAACGCTTTGTGCCTGTTCTTTGTTCCAGTAATTGTTCCAAGCCTGCAGTCCCTGATCACCCATCCAGCGAGCACCACGCATAAGCTCCTGTGTCACGCCTCGGGCGACTTTGCCAAAGAAACTCTCACCCTCGCCGACGTCAGTAGCGCATGTTAGTACTGGTCGGGACGGCGGGCTACGAGTCTCAAGCCCAATAGTCTTTCCCTGTAGGAGAGATGCAGGAACCGTTGCACGAAGGGATGCTCTGTAAGTGGTCGGTGGGGGGACCGTAGCCAACCACCTTCCTCTGAGAGATATGATCGGGTTGTCATGGTTGGGAGGTCCATGAGGTGAGTCGGGCTGCGAACCATCCGGATCAGTGGAGCTAGACGAGGTCGAGTATCGTCGAGATTCCTTTGACTGGATGCTCGTCCAAATCTTGCCGAGACACTGATACTTGCCTATGCCGTAGGTGTAGACTTCTCCACTCGACCCGGATGCCACAACAACGTAACTGCCGCTAGCATAAAGCTTCAGGTTGCCGACAGGCGGCGGAGCCAAAACCGGCATCCCTGGAATATTCCCAAAGCACTGGACCGGCGGTGTCGTCAGAAGCGTTGTAATGTGCTCTCCATTTCTCAGAGAATAGACATCGACTCGCGTTTGGTAATATTTTAATTCGTCCTTATTGATACGACCACCAGAGATTGACGGTCGACCAGCTGGGATCTCGTTTGTTTCGGACCCGGTAGAGGAGGCGTGGCCCTCATCATCAGGTACAGAACAGGGTCCATGAGTAATGACAGCAATATGGGGTCTGGATGCGGAGTTCGGGTCATTCGCCGAGGTACTCGTCAGCAACTTGGCCTCGATCACCCGACCATTCAGACCGGTCAGCTTGCCCACCAGACGAGTCTTCTGATCTTCTATGGCAAGAATGTCTAGAGCACCGTCTGTACCGACAAGAAGGACGTTGCTCCCTATCCTAGACGCCTTGAACCACTGGCTCAGAATTGTATCAAAGGCACAAAAAGAGTAGCCCCCGTCACTGATCGGCCTACTTTGTGCAAAAGACACGGGTAACTCGATATCTGGTGCGCCGTAAAAGTGGGCCTGCGGTAAATGGGGCAGGGGTATCTGGTTGTTGAATGGGCTGCTGACAGGGTTGCTCTTGTGCCGGTCTGCAGACGGTTGCCTGGACGTATTACTAGTAGAGTAACCATGTCCATAACTCAAAGGCCTTGTCCTGCTGGAAGGCGAGGCCGATGAAGGCTGGCTGAACCCGCCTTTATCATGACTTGTGAGGAATCCAAACGGTGATCCGCTAGCAAATTCACCATCTGTCACGTCATTAGGTGGGCTTTTGCCGAAAGGGATAGACTTGGCCCAAGTATCCGTCCGGTAGGTGACATCATTTTCGGGGGAATCTCCCAGAGAGTCCAGGGCGTCGAGAACCGGTGACACAATATTGTGACTAGTCGGAGGCTCTAATGTAGGATTTGGACAAGACGACGGCTCTGCCAGCAGAGGTGGTGAGAGTTCCTCTCTGTAGCGTAGACCACAAGGTTGACCGTTCGTTAGCTTTGTTTCATGCGGTACAGTGACTAATGCTTGAAAATGTCGGACTTACAGGTCGCCCGGTGAGGACTTGGCCGCTGCTTTCGCCGCTTTAGCCTTGGCCTTTGATCCGCTTTTTCCTTTCTTCTTGCTCTTGCCCCCAAGTTCATGCTCCGGGTTCAGACGTGTATTATCCTCGGGAGGAATGGTGTCACCTGGGGACCGGCTCTGCTGGCGAAACAAATCGTCCGAAGCTGCCGGTGGCATTCAAATGGAGGGTCTGCCTGCTAAGAGGCAGTATGGTTTCGAGAAGGTGACCGCTCTCAGAGACCTTGGTAAGGTCTGAGAACGGGTCTAACAATATGGTCGACCTGCAACGAAAATCGCGCTCAGGCCGGGTGTGGAGGGTTGTGGAGAGAGCCCTTGGGAGGCAACGCTGCGAAGGTCAACAAACGCTTATCAGCATGAGTCATCGACAGACAGGAATGTTCAAGCGCTTCAGGAGACTACTTACGAAGGAACTGTATCGGATGCAAATGTACTCGAGGTCAAAGACGCGTGAGAGGCGTGTCGGGTTGTCGCAGCTGCAACGACAAGCCGCGACCAGCAACGTATCTAGAGCGGGGACCCGTTCACTGATACGCCGGTAGAATAGTAGATCTGGGATACAGGACAGCTCGGCAGCACAGCTGTAACCGTCTGTCCTCGATATCGAAGGTAAACAAGGGGGTATGTTTATGTTAGATATGAGGCTGAACCAAGTGGCGGACAAGTAGCAATGAGATCACAGTAGGTAGAATGAGGAAGAGAAGATGTTATCATCCGGAGGGAAGGGAAATAGGGAAAGGAGGGAAAGGAGGGGGAGGGGAACCGGGTCAGGGCCAGGAGCATGGATGACATCTCCATGGTTAGTAAACTTATCTCCTATCAGTAGTTAACTAACTTAGGTAGTTTACTGCCGGTAACTATGGAGTACATAGTGTACAGTACATAGTGCACAGTACCTCGTACCTAGTACGTCCGTAAAGTTCCCGACCGACTCACCACATGACGCGGAGCAAATGATCATTGGTTATCAGTTAGTAGGCATGTATACACTACCTAGTACCTACATGATTGAAATCCTAGGTATGACCCCCATAACATGACGCAAGCTGGTAAAGTCACGAAGAAACCCGGGAGACCTCTCAGGAAGATTCCTCTTTACTGGTAAAGTACTGCGCTCTCTGCCCACTAACTTATCACTCTCTCGCTGGTCTCTCTCCCGAGTCCCTCTATCTGGCAGGCTGCCTTAATCGGGTTCTCCTTGTGGCTAGTCAATGATCTGCAATTACCATACCGTACAGTATTCTTTTGATCTTATTACCTTTCCCCACTGTACCGGTATGAAGCAGGACAATCAATAGATACACGGATCGGACCCCAGTGGTCCTCCCCAATGGTCTCCCCCAGTGCAACGCCCGCATGAGGGGTAATAATCGATGCATGCACCCTTTGCAAACACGGCAAACACCGCAAGCACGACGCGCCGAAACGCGGGCCCCTCGTAGTCACGTGATAGATGGCGAATGATGCAGCCAAACAGCCATCACCACCTGTGCATGTGTTTTTGACCGTGGATGGACTGGAACAGTCCTTGCCTGTATCCCCCACAGTGTTCCAGGTCCCGTGGATCCGCATGAAAGGGAATCGGGACTCTTGAGGCATTGGACTTTGGCTGGTGGCTAATTATCCATGATGGTGAGGAGCATTCCCCCGGCCGGCCCAACTATTCCTGGGGGGCTTGAAAAAGGCGGTCGGGTCATTAACCCTTCAATTCCCCCTTCAAGTCACGGGGACCCCGCTTAAGCTGCTGCACTGCCATCATCTGTAAGGCCCCCGTCGGTCATTGGCACGTCCCCTCTCTTTCTCTCCCTCACAGAGCTGTGATTGAGATCTTACGTGGTGGCTGCCCATTCCCCCGGGGCGCCCTTTCATATAACTTGAGAAATGTCAACATGACATTACCCCCACCCTCTTCGGGTAGGTCTCTCCTGAATCCCTGGGAAGCCAGCAGCGCCTCACCTGTGACCTGCCGTATCCAAGGATCTCTCTTCATCGAATGATCGCACAGCTCGTCATCGGTGCTACTTTCATTACCACGCGGTTGGCTTGCAGGGGGACCTGAGGAATGCAGCTGGACTGGACTGGCAGGGAAGTCAGAATCTTACTTAATTGAGGACGATAATTGTTATCGTTCAACAATGATGCCATCTTGCTGCCAGACTTGCCTCGGGCAGCATTTTGCATTCGTGCGTTTTGAAGCATTCATTCTCCGGCTTAGTAACGAGATCCAGGTCATCTGATGGCATGCCCTTTCAGTCATTGGTGTCGACGTTGGGAGTTATCCGATGGTCATAGGAATTTCTGAAAAAGGTTGTTCCGTGCTTTTTGAGCCCACATACGGAGCAGTACAATGAATGTCTGTTTCATGACCACAGATACAAACTGGGTCCTCGGATTATCCATCGCTCATATCGACAGAGCCCGTCTTTCTTTGAAAAATCGCTGGGAAACCTTGTGGGACAGCGTGTTCTGCGATAGGTTGTTTACTAACTTGTTCGTGAAGCGGAGTCAGACATACGACGATCTTTCCCTGAGATTCTAACCGCGACTTGACAACGCCTTGACAGTTTTCGTTGCAGCCCATGCTCGTTTGCCCTCGAGATGGAACTCGCGGACATGAGCTAGCGATCTGAGCTCCGTTGTAGCTCACTCAATCTTGCCGGATCTGTCTGCCTAATGAAATTCCAGTCCCACATATATCAATCGATTCCGGTGTGAATATCAGTGCGGTAGAGTATAGACTGTTGCTGAACTCCTCCGCCCAAATCTGCCATTTTTATCGAGTCTTCTGGCATCAGTTGAAGGATAATCACAGCAACACCCTCTGTTGGCTGCCCGAAATGAGGATACTTTGGTTCCCGCAGACAGTATCCAGCCGTAAAGTACCAAAGACAAGGGGTTGTCCAGCTTGTGTTAAGTCCACATCATGCTGCTCTATCATAATGACCTTCCCGCTCCTGGGCCAATGCAGAGTCAGTATACCTGCAATACTGCATGGTGTATGACCGATACACTGCGAGGCTAATGTTACGAGAAGTCGATGAGACCAGTCACAACGTACTGTACGAGCTAAGCATGTTTCATCGGTGCAGGCTTGAGGTTGCCTTGCTTTGTTTGGTGCTTATGCCTGCGGTTTGGTAGGACATTCTACAGTCTTTGTCCCATGGATGAGATCTAGACCTACCTTGAAAGGTAGTGCAATGTTTCTGCCCTGGTGTCTAGACCCGTAAGGCTGGGGTCCTGGCCACGAAAATACGGTTGGCGATTGCACCCAACGTATCGGAGGATTAACCTTACCAAGTCGGGATGTGGTGATTGCATTCTATTGTATTTTATTGACGTGGAGTGTAGCAACATGCGCTATAGAGGGCCTCAGCTTCGAGCACGTGATGATAGTCTCCTTGGCTCCACTTTTTATGCACAGTATACTGGCAAGAGCTACGGATTTTGGACCAACGCGTTCGACCGCAAAGCTTCCCTAAGCCTGAGCAGCTACGCAACTTCATGGCAAACAAATAATCCGTTTTGATAACGCCACATTGTGTGTACCATCTGGCCCATACTGAGGTGACTGGCTGTGGGCTAGCATCCAGTATGGGACTATCCCCTCCTAAATCAGTTCTCGCAAATAGCTTGCATTGGCCTTTTATCACCTTTGGTTCTATATCTGAGAGAACTAACCATGAAGTTTGCCATGAAGCCTACCTGGAGCGCAAGCCATTGGGGAGAACTCCATTTCAAAATTGTATTGTCAACATCGCGGAGAAGATAAGTACTGTACAACCGAATACAATCAATGCCACGTAGTCTGTAGTCCCACGAGATCAGATCTCAAGACTTCTTCTTTGCAGCGGCTGCCTGTGCCTTGGCAGCCTTCTTCTTGTTGCTGTTGATCATCACAATGCCTATGAAGGTGCCGACCACAGCGGAACCAAGCAGAGTGAGAAAGACGGGGATACGGATGGCCCAAACACGCGGAGGGAAGAGGTCGTGGAGAGGGTGACCGGGATCAACGAAGGGCTAACGAGCTGTCAGCAATTGTGCAGAACTATGCTGTGAGGAGGGAAGATGAAGCAAGCATACCATCAACAGAGTCCACGTGGTATAGTAGAGGAAGATCGCGGTCGCGACCAGAAGCATGGCGGATCCGACAATAGTGCCCAGCTGTTCAGTGTAAGTGATTGTCATCTCATCATCTCATATATTGCTCAGTAGAAGTCAAACCACACATCACATACCATACTGATGATCAATGATGGAGCCGCGGGTAGGGTGTATGAAGGGAGAGCGAGAAACGCAGAAGGATGACGGATAAATGAAGATGGGCTCCTAATGCGCATGGCAAAGAGACAACTGCCCGCGGCCGGGCGCCAGCCTGGCTCCAACACGCTCACGTGATCGTGACGGAGGGCCGCGCTAAGACTTCCTTTCCCTTCTTTCGCCGCCCGCCCATCACGAGAGCTCCGACCAACGTCGTGTTATCCGCGGGTTCACCACCACTGTCAGGGCATTCCTGGATTTTGACCCCGAACAAAGGATGACGGATCCCGTTGTGTTGCAGTCTGCGGTGCGAGTGCCGACTCCGCCCCCAGATGCCTCGTACTCTCCCCAACCTTCAGCATCTCGCAAACGCTCACCTCCTTCTCGATCCCCTTCACCAAACCGTCGCCGCTCGCCACCTGGTGACTCGCACGATGGTGACCTCGAAGCGCCGCGCATCGACCCGGAGCGCGCCATCGAGCGAGAGCGTCAGCTTGCGGAGCGCGTTCGACAGCATGAGAAACAGGAAGCCGCCGCAAGGAAGCCGATGACGGAAGAGGAGAAGCAGGCGGCCGCCAAAGCCGAGTATGAGAAGCTTTTGAGCATGCGGTCAGGCGGTACCTATATCCCCCCGGCTCGACTGCGTGCGCTGCAGGCACAGATCACCGATAAGACCAGCAAGGAATATCAGCGGATGGCTTGGGAGGCGTTAAAGAAGTCGATCAATGGTTTGATCAACAAGGTCAACGTTTCCAACATCAAGCATATTGTCCCGGAGCTGTTCGGTGAAAACCTGGTGCGCGGCCGCGGTCTGTTCTGCAGGAGCATCATGAAAGCTCAGGCGGCTAGTTTGCCCTTCACGCCCATCTACGCTGCCATGGCTGCTATCGTCAACACAAAGCTGCCGCAGGTCGGAGAGCTCCTGCTCAATCGGCTGATTGTACAGTTCCGGAAGGCATTCAAACGAAATGACAAGGCTGTCTGCATATCATCTACCACCTTCATCGCCCATCTGTGCAACCAGCAGGTTGCCCACGAGATGCTGGCTGCCCAGATTCTCCTTCTCTTGCTCCACAAGCCCACGGACGACAGTGTTGAGATTGCGGTTGGACTCACACGGGAAGTTGGCCAGCACCTGGAAGAGATGAGCGGACCCATTGCGCTTGCGGTGTTCGACCAATTCCGCAACATTCTTCACGAGGCGGATATCGATAAGCGTGTGCAGTATATGATCGAGGTGCTGTTCCAGGTTCGCAAGGACAGATACAAGGACAACCCGGCGATCAAGGAGGAGTTGGACCTGATCGAGGAAGAAGATCAGATTACACACCAGATTGGTCTTGACGATGAGATTGACACTCAGGACGGGCTGAACATTTTCAAGTACGATGCGCAATGGGAGGAGCACGAAGAGGCCTACAAGAAGCTGAAGGCGGACATCCTAGGAGAAGGCAGCGACGATGAAGAGGATGAGGATGAGGACGAGGATGATGACAGCTCAGATGAAGAGTCGGAAGAAGAGCGGAAGATGGACATCAAGGATCAAACCAACGCAGACCTTGTCAACCTCCGCAGAACGATTTACCTGACAATCATGTCCAGTATAGATTTCGAGGAATGTTGTCACAAGCTGATGAAGATCTCCCTACCAACGGGTCTCGAGTCCGAGCTTCCATCGATGGTCATCGAGTGCTGCTCGCAGGAGCGCACCTATTCCAAATTCTACGGCTTGATCGGTGAAAGATTCGCCAAGATCAACCGCTTCTGGTCCGACCTCTTTGAAACCTCATTTGCCAAATACTACGACACGATCCACCGATACGAAACCAACCGACTACGCAACATCGCCCGCTTCTTCGGTCACATGATCAGCACCGATGCCATCGGGTGGCATGTGATGTCCATCATTCACATGAATGAAGAAGAAACGACGTCCAGTAGCCGTATCTTCATCAAGATCTTGTTCCAGGACCTGGCGGAGCATATGGGCTTGCCCAAGCTTCAAGAACGTATGCGAGACGAGATTCTGCGCCCCAGCTTCGAGGGTATGTTCCCAACGGACAACCCACGCAACACCCGCTTCTCAATCAACTACTTCACCAGTATCGGCATGGGTATTTTGACGGAAGACATGCGCGAGCACTTGAAGAACCTCCCCAAGCCCACCATCCCTGCCTTGCCTCAGCGCGATGGAGGCGACGAGTCAGACGCGGATTCCGTCTCGTCGCATCCCACCAGTTGCTCGACTTGCTCGCCCCGCTCCCGCTCCCGCTCCCGCTCCTACTCCTACTCCCGTTCCCCTTCGCCAGGCCGCCGCCGCAGACGCTCGGTCAGTCGGGGCCGGTCCGTCAGCCGCTCTGTGTCGGGCTCGTCCCGCCGAAGCTACAGCTACACGCCGTCGCGGTCTCGCTCGCCAGTCTCCAAGAACCGTCGACATTCAGTCTCATACAGTCGGTCTCGGTCGCGATCACCTGCGCCCCGTAAACGCTCATCCGTCTCGCGGAGCCCCCGTCCTCGCCGAGGCCGGGATCACTCCTACGATTCACGTTCCCGTTCCCGCTCCCCTCGTCGGAGTGTGAGTCCTCACCCAACTCGACGAGCCCGTTCCCTATCCCGCTCGGTCACGCCACCCCGCAAACAGGGCGGCAGCGGTCCAGCCCCCTCTCGCCGAGATCGCAGTTACAGCCGATCACCCTCTCGGTCCGTGACCCCGCCCCCTCCTGCGCGTCGCGGCGCGCCCGCAGCCCGTACTGGGACCGACCGGTATTCCGAATCCCGATCGCCTTCTCCTCCCCGCAGGCGGGTTGCCAGGAGCATCTCGCGGTCTCGGTCTCGGTCTCGCACCAGATCAGTGTCGGTGACGGCGCGGCGGCCGCCTGCGCCCATCCGTCGTGGCCGCGATGCTAGCGCGTCCCGCTCACCGGCACCACCGCGGGCTGGAGGAGGAGGAGGAGGAGGAGGTCGAAGACGGTACTCGGATTCGAGGTCCCCTTCGCGGTCGCCCGTGCGCCGCCGTGCATCGCCTTCGCAGACCCCTCCCCGCCGAGGCCGTGACTAGTAGTGTATACATCGATGAGTGAAAGTCTGTGGGTCAAGAAGGGAAAGACTTCAAAAGGCCATTTTTTTCGCTGCTGTTGTGCTTATCATGGGATGAATTAGGGCGGAATGGGTTAAGTTTATATCATAATGGGGGGCTCATTATAGTGTGTATCTAGTTTGAAGTGATGAAAAAAGGCAAACATCCAGCCAGGCCTTAGTCATGTTTCAAGACTCACTCTAAGATATGATAAATCATGGACTTCTTGTAGAGTATCAACGGACATCATATGTACGGCAGCTCACAAGCTGATAGCTCTGCTAGCCGTCCTGTCCACTTCTATATATCTAGCCTGTTATATATGTAGATCTATCACCACCAGGGGTATCTCAAATCAATCTCTAACATCACCGCAATCTATAAAGCACAGGGACCCCTCGCCCTTTCCTACCGTCCTATCACATGCACGCGATGCACACGAGACAACGAAAAAAAGAGGACATCACATCTCCCCGGCCTCAAACCGACACCTCTCACACAGACAGAAGCCGCCCAGGGCGCCGCGGGCCCACTCCCGACGATCCTTGACCCCCAGCCCAATGTCACAGTAATGGTTGAGGATCTCCTCGTCCTTCTTGATCCCCGCCCCGACCCGCCTACACGTGGGCGCAGCCGCAGCATCGGCCTCGGAGGGAAGATTCCACACGGCGCGCTCGGCCTCCGCGCGGGCGACGAAGGTGATCTCGCCGCCCCACTCCCAGCGGACGTTGGGGTCGCACGAGTGGTTGGCCAGACACCACAGGGGGTGGACGGCGCAGAGCTCGGGCCCGCCGTCCCAGGTGGAGAGGCGGCCGGAGGCGGTGCCCCGGAACTTGGCGTACAGGGTGTTGAGGACCCAGGTGTCGTAGTGGCGGAGGTGGGCGTAGGGGTCGATCTCCATCTCCTCGAGGAGGCGCATGGGCTGGAGGATGTTGAGCTGGAAGGAGAAGGGGAGGGTGCCATCATTCCCCAATGCGCCGGGGTCGTGGTCCAGCGGGTCGGGGTGGTCATAGTCCACGAAATCGCCCCAGATGAATTTCACCTCCCCCAGCTCCAGCGGATGTACCTCCTGCGTCGCCGCCATCGCCAGCGCCCGCCCCAGCAGCAGCAGATATAGGTAGTCTGCCTTGTCCTTCGGGTCGGGGATGTCCTTGCCGATGGACTCGAGGTTTCCCATCAGCCCGCACACGGCCCCGTGGTAGACCTGCTGGGCTCGGTCGTGGCAGGCCTGCGAGCAGAAGATCGTGTCGTCGCAGCCGTTGGCGCACGCCACGGGCGGCTCGTCGGCCGAGAGCTCCGGGAGCGGGCCATTGCAGGCGTCGCACAGGTCGTCGTGGAGACGGTTGGTGGCGGTCAACAGCGAGTTTTCGCGGAGGATGGCCTCGCCAGGCAGAATGTCTTCTTTGGCGAAGAGCCCCAGTTGGATGCTGACTTCTTCTTGCTGCTCTTGTTCTTGATCTTGTGGTTCGGAGGAGGAGGAGGGGGTTGGCTTAGTGGTAGTGATAGAGTGCAGCGCCGGTAATGCGACAGCCCGGACCTCACACTTGGGCGCTACCGTCCGTAACTTTTCGTTCAGGAGGGCCAGAGTCTCTGGGGATTTGCGGTCGGGTTCGTGCGTGTTCCAGGGGTAGAGAACGCGGCGGGCAAGTCCCTGCGCCGGCAGGGCGCTGGGATCGTCAATCACGATCTCCGTGGTAAAGGAAGGGAGATTGCGTCGGCGGGCGAACTCCCGTTGCAATGTCGCCAGTTGTGCCGCTAAGGTGGCGTGGGCTTCACGGTCTGGGGAGGTTGGGTCGTCGCTAGTGCTACCAATACTACTCAAGCCCCGTGCACAGAATTCATATGCGTCACGGAAGCAGCCACAGCCGACGAGGGAGCGGACTAATAAGGCGTAAACGGGGTGAATGAGGGCATCGTATTCGGACTGCGTAAGTGGAGTGAACTGGTCATCATCGTCGTCGTCGTCGTCGTCGTCGTCATCGTCAGCGTTGTTACTTTCGCGAGCCTTTGACTCCGTGATCTCCGGAGAATCGTGAACCCTGCGTCGGGCGTGAAATTCGCAGCCGTCCGGGTCAATGACCGAGTCGAGGAGAGATAGTGCGCGGTACGCATCGGCCGACGCTAGATCGGGGAATCCCAGTTTCTCATGCACGAGACCTCGCTCATAGTAAAGGTGTGGATTGTGAGGATCTTCGTAGAGCCGCGTTGTTAGATCAGCTCGTTCCTGCAGGGCTTGCATCTTTGACTGTCGGAGAATCCTAATCCGTTCGTTCAATCTGGCGAGGGCGAAGGGGAGAGGAAATTTCAGGATGAGGGACTGAAAATGCGGGGAAACGATAAGAACCCGGTCACGTGGAGATAGAGCGAGCCTACAGAAGTATCTTTACAATTCAGACCTGAACCTGACTACCGTGGACTTCAATGCGTTCACCGAGTTCAACTTCATATCCATGAAGTATTTTCAGAGAGAGTGATGTGGTTTTGTGGGTTTAAACGCTTTTCATACCGAAATATATCCAGTAATGGAACGCATGTTGACAGCCAAGCTACATGCTGCGAAAGGTTGCATGACAACAATCTTGCTTAAACCAAGTAAGATGGTGATAGGGGAATCAGACTTGAAGAAAAGGCCAGGGATAGAGCGAGGACAAAAAGGGAAATGTCGCCAGCCAACTGGGATTGACCGGTTCGAGGCCACCGTGTAGGCCGCGACAAAGAGTTAGGCAAGACCCACCGATTCACATCACCTGCAGGCATCATAACTATCAATTCCTGTTCGAGCCGGCCAACACTATTCTCACTTACATGACAGCTGTTCTCATCCAAAACCAGGGTGGCATGTTCCCCTTCCCCACCAGCCTCCACATTGTACTGCTGGTCCCGCAGGGTGGTAGCAAGACGGGCTAGCATATGTCTCTGCACAAGTATCAGCATGGGAATCCCTTCGACACGAGGAAATGCACGTACGGTAATCGACGCTTCGCTCATCCCGCCTCGTCGATCAACATCATTCTGATTCATGATTCGATAACTATCATGTAAGCGTTTGCGAGTGGCCAACCCCCCAATCCCTCTCACATTAGGCCCAAGCGTATTGGCGGGGTTATCGGGATCAAGAATGTTGATTCCACGGCGAGCGTCATCCTGAGCACGGCGGTCGGGTGAGAAAATCTTGATGGTGTTGTCAATCCCAGAAGCGGCTATAGTAGGCTCATAGGGATGTCCTGCAAAGGATCGTTAACCACTGGGCATCAACGGTTCCTATCTTCAGCAAACCTACCCTGGACAACATTGACGACCTCACTGTCGCCTTCTAGGATATTGACTAGCTTGCATGTTTTCCGATCCCAAATGAAAATATGGCCCGAGTCACTTCCACTAACGACAAACTCATCGTCCAACCCATAGAAATTGACATCCTTGACTGTCTTGACATTGCAGTGACCGCGATACACGCGCGTATGTGAGGAACAAGGAACATCCAGGTGCACATACTCTCTTTGTCTGGGGTGCAGCCCGTACTCCCTGAACATACGACTTTCAGCCTCGGAGTCGTCATCGCTGTCGTTCGCTGGACTATCAGAGTTCAGATCAAACTCATCCTCCTCCTCTTCTTCCTCATCATCATTGTCGTCGTCTTCAATTTCGGTTTCGTCATCGTCCTCAGCATCGTCAAGTCCGTCCTCTTCATCCTCCTCCAAGTCATTCTCGGTTTCACTACCCCACCCTGGGAAGCTTGGGATGCCAGTTAAAGACGACACTGACTCGGTCGCTTCGCTGGTATAGTCATCGGATTCTTCTCTGCTGAGTTGCTGGCCCCGGAGTATTTTCAACCGTACGTCGCGGATAGGTTCCTCTTCCATATTTGTTTCCAGATCATTCTGTGACCTCTCCTGATCCATATCTGATTCAGAGCCAGGCGCCACCGTGGCCCGAAAGCCTCCGAAGGCTCTGTTGACAAAAGCATAGTTGACGCCGGTCCCGCTCTCCATGAGTATGCCGCGAGCCACTTTCAGCACCCAGAACTGTGTAAGCTGAAACAAATCGAGGGCATGAGTAGGTGTCTCGTTAGAGTTTGCCCTGTTAACTGCCCCGCCGTGCGTGGCCCCGTTCGATGCTCCGCCGTCAATCGGGTTTTGAGCTGACGTCCTGACTGCAGTGGCGAAGGCGGCTACCGCTTCGCGTTGAGTCGAGAAAAGAATACGGGCCTCGTCGTGTTCGAACCTAGATGCATCAACGTTCACCACCGGGGCCTCTCCTGCTAGCCGCTGAAGATAAGGAATTAGGGTTGACTCAATCGCACGGTCATCCGCGGCTTCAGGGATAGGAAACCTGCTGAGCGTGTCCCGACGAATGGGACCACGCTTGAAGCCCGACAGCAGAGCTTCTCGACCCCCTTCCACATATAGTATGATGGCCTTGATGAAGTCATAACCAAACTGCTCTCTGCGATCGGGCGCGTATTCAACTTTCAGCGGCGATATTTGTTGAAATTGCTCCATCTCGTTGTCAACGTCCCCAGGCGTATTTTGAAGCTCGCCTCCTAGAGCTCGAGCTATCGTTCCTGCAGCCTGAACAAAGCTCCAGGCGGACTCTCGGTTACGACGCAGAGTTTGCTGAAAGCGCACCATATCTGAAGAAGGATTGAGCGGATAGCCCCATGTGCGCATGACCTCACTCATCTGCGGCAGACAGATGGACGCGTGGCCCAATGCTGTGGAAAAAGACTCGCCAAAAGGCGTCAGATCCGTTGCACTAGCTGATTCAAGCTCTTCGCGCGCTGACGTATCTAGCGAGAAAAGAGCCTTGCGAAGCTTGACTAGTTCTTTGGCAATACGCATGCTGAGCCTTTGAGCGTCACTGAGCACTGCCAGCCTCGATTGCTCTAGTAAGCTCTCCGGAACCTCAGCCCGACGCTGCGTTAAAGATGGGAGAGGAATGTCCTCTGACTCTCCATTGCCGTAACGCACGCGAAATGCCAACTCGCCTTCGTCCTGACGGTCTCTGGGTCGACGTCGCGAGGGAGGCTGGTTACCGCTCGAGTCGGATGACAATGACGTGCCATTGTGTCGCTTTCGCTTGCGGTTTTTGCTGTATCGACGTTTCCGCGGCGCAGGTGTTGCCTGCACTGATGATTGCTGCGATCTCACTTCTCTCGCATCTGCGCTGCGGATGAGATCAAAGCTATAGATATGGTCGCCCGACCAGCTGACCACCATCTCATTCGGATTCGCATCGCTGATCTTGCAGGCTGTGATATGGCCGTCATCCCGAGTCTTCATGCGATCCTGCCCATCGGGCGCGAACCGGCGAACGCACTTCGTCGCGTCATCCAAAACGTCTGCTCCTTGGCTACTACTCCCAGGAGACGTACTTGAGGCGCCCCTCTCGGCGATGAGGTCCCGACCCAACATACGCCGATCGTGCAGGAAGCAATGTAGATGAGCACCGCCCAGCGCGATGTAATGTGGTTGACTAGGAGAGCATGAGATGGTGTTGAGATCCAGGCGGTATCTCTTGTACGAGATCAGCGGCGGGGGCACATTGGAATCATCGTGATCCTGTTCCGATCGGAAAGCCATGTAGCCCTGACCTCCCAGAGGTTTGGGATAGGCCGAGGAGGGCTGTCGCAGATCCCATTGGCGTACTTCTCCGTCCTCTGAACAGGTCAGAAAGAGATGCGGAGACGACTCAGTAACGATGCGCTTGACCCGGTCGGCATGGCTACGATAAACTTTTGCGTTGGTGGTTATCGGGCTCAGATAGTGAGAGGTGTTGAAGAAGTTCTGAAAGCGTCGACTTCTTGCCGATGAAGCAAAGGTCGAATTTCCACCCAGGTGCCCATTGTTACTGGAATACTCAATGTCGAAGACTCGGACCTGGGAGTCCCCGGCGCACGAGACTAGGGTTCGATCATTGGAGTGTGGCATAAACTTGACGGAAAAGATATTGGCAGTATGACCAGTGTCGATGGTGGTGCTGAGGGCAAAGGGTGCTGCTGAGGAGTCGGGTTGATAGGCGTAGATGTTCAAGTGCTGATCATCCGAACCCGAAGCCAGCAGGCGGCCAGACCGCGACCAGCTGTTCTCTGTCAGAAGGGCGGGAACGTCATGGTGCATAAACTAGGGGTAATAAATTCTGATCAAACATGATGATAACGGAGATGGTAAGGAGAAATACAAGACATATACTAGTTCGGAACCAGCCGAAGGTTCCGGATGGGGAGTTGAGAATGAGGATAGATAGACAGATAGATACATACCTCAAAGCATTGACACAACCCGAGTGACCACCGAGCTCGTTTACAATATCAAGGTCCTGAACCCATTCAGGAGAGCCATAAAGGCCATGAATGCCAGCCAAGTGAGAAAATCCTCCAGATTCTCGACGCCAGATACGATCGTAGAGAGACTCTTTCATTGTGGAGGAGGAGGAGGTAGAGCCGGGTTGTGGGTGAGTGGGTGGGTGGGTGGGTTTGGTGATCGAGACTGGCGGTCTTGTTACCAGACAATTACCAGGTGTCAGACGGTATGGTTACCGGACAAGTGTGGATCATTGCGCTGCGGCGGGAATGTGGAAAGAAGGGGAGAGGGAGAAAGAGAATAAAAAAAAAAAAAAAAGAAAGGAGTTAAACCACTGCAGCTCGAATGACGTCAGACTGGGGTTCGCGCAGATAAACGGCGGTGCAAAGCTCTCAGTTGCTGCTGATCTCGGCGTGAGGCGAGGCCCGACATAAGAAGTAAACTGAACGCAGGCCCGCGGAGGTCTTGTGGTGACTGGTGATGGACACGGTCGACAGGTCTGCAGCCATCCACACCTGGCAGATACAGCAGGAAGCCCCGAATAGATGAACTTCCAGTGAAGGTGTCACCGTGCGATTCGCAGTCTATGCAGAGTTGGCTTGAGTCAAGTAGTGTCAAGTGAAGTGGTGAAAGTAAAAAAAAAAATTAGGGAAGAGCAAAGAGCGCGGGGAGAGAGATAGTAGAAAGAACGAGAGTGAGTGAGTAAGAAGGCAACTTGGAAGAATACTAAGTAGGTCCAAAGACGGACTGGGGTCCAGATTGTTTCGGGTATATGAGAAAGAAAGCTGACCAGATTCCGGACTGTGCACCCGATCTCTTCCTGGAACGAACGAACCAATGGATGGGGTCGCAACACCGACTCTCGTCTCGTACAGAAGAGTACCGAGTAGTCTCGATGGGCCCAAGCTGAAAAAAGGAAATCAGTGGAGAGGGGAATGATGAATGGTGTTGACGATAAATCGGGAAAGGGGAAAAGGAACCAGGTCGAAGAGGATGGAGCGATGAGGAAAGGGTATAGTATAGTATTAGCAGTGGTAGTAGTAAAGCAGAAGTAAGAAAACGACCACGACGGCAGGATATAGTAGCCAAGCCGATTGAACAAGCAGCAAGCGGAGGATGGGAGAGAAGAGAACGACGGAAAGTCGAGAAAGGGACAGGAAAGGGAAAGGGCAAGAAAAGGTCCCAAAAGATCCACTGGGCCCAGAACCACAGTTTGAGCACCGTAACAGTAGTACTCAGTGACCTAGCAGTGGAAGTAGTAGTCATGTAGTCTTGACTAGGTACCAGCTAGGCAATCAATCAATTCACCATATTATTTGCAGATACTATGTACAACCAACTTATTGTGTGCTGTATGTACATACTTCATGTTGGTGATTGCTGGTCAAGTAGGTAAGCCGGTTCGCCCCCCCCCTCCCTCCTCATAATTAATTCCGAGTTGCGCGCAGAATGATGGCATTCTGATCATATCTCTCCTGTTTTTGCCCTGATCCTCTTCGCCTCCTCCCCGAGACGTCGTTTATTCTCTCGTTCCGCAGTGATCGGAGATATTGGGGGAGAAAGGGTAGTAAGTATTTGTCTCATTTCACCGCATTGTCGGGTGACTGGCAAGAGTGTAAGTTGAGTTTAGTTAGTGAGCGAGTGAGTGAGTGAGTGACAATCCTACAGCCTCTTCACACTAACAGCCAGCCACGCGTTACTCAGTACATCCTCTAGGCCGGGGACTAGACTCCCATCTCAATTGTCTACCATACCGAAAGGAGGAAGGTCACCGATCTGGGTAGACCCGCGATCCCCCCATTGAATGTCTATGATTCGACCAACTGAGGAGGATGCATGGGGCCACGGTCTGTTTACTCGGCCGGACGGTCTGTTGGGCGCATGATAGCTAAAAGAGAAATAGGGATTGAGTAGCAAGCAAGCAAGCAAGCAAGCAGCTAGAGGTCGAGGTAAACCCATCTCTTTACCTCCCATCTCGGTACGAGGTTACACGGCTGAAGGGGGGAGAATAATATGAGCATGACCCTAACGCGAGGAGAGAAACTTGACTGCTCGCTCAACTTAAGTTTGACACTAACTTCTGCTGTGCTGCAGCGAAATCAAAATTTGAATCCAAGAAAAAAGGGAAAGGAAAAAAAAAGAACTACGATAAAAAAGGTGAATGACGACAAAAGTCCCCACGTTCGCTTAGTCAGAGTTACTCTCCCCTAGAAACGATGGGTCAGTCCATCCGTCAATCGGTTGAGCAAAGCCGAAGCCCAGCGAAGAAGCAATCTCTATATAAATCTCATATCTGCCCACCGTCTCCTCTCGGCTCATCCAATCGTGACTGATCCCTCCCTTCCCCCATCACAGCCCGCCCGCATGGACGCGGTGAGGATCTTATTCCCGGCTCAGCGTCTTGGAAGTCGGACTGTTCGTTGACCTTCTCTCGCCTTCCAAACTAATCGCCCCCCCTCCTCTTGCCCCCCAACTCTGAACCACAGTGAGCAGAGCAATGATTTACTGGAGCACGGACTCCGTGATGAACTAGGGCAATGCACCAGCATATTACTGTACGGTATCTTCTGTTCTCTCTCAGGACGGTCCATAGGGAGAATAATAAGAAAAGGGAAAGGTCTAGGTCGTCTTCAGTCTAGTCGCAAGAGTCGCAAGAGGAGCGACGGGTAATATCGCGGCCTTCCAGGTCAACAGCCTTCTTGGTCAGAAGAAAACCGGATCCATTGCTCTTCTTCTCTTCCCACTTTCCCAGTTTTTCCCTGCTTTGTCTCAGCACAATCTCTGGGACATGGTGGGGACGATTGTCAGCTTGACAGCTCAACAACTGGTTCGGAGTGGATTTTCGTCCGCTCATCTGCACTGAACCTCTCTGCTTCTGGCCCGGATGCGAGAAGAAATACGGCTGTATGGATGTGCGCAGCCGTGTTGGGTTGTTTCCTTTTCTTTTGCCAGGAAGCCCAAGTCCACTGAAGAAACCCGGCTCGATGAAGCCAAGGTCTATCTGTACGCTACTGTCGGCACCGCCAGCGGTGAAACATGACCATAGGTGGTACAGTCTAACCACCAGGGCACACACGAATCGCTCAGGGGTGGACCAGCGCACTGAACTCTCATCTGGCGAGTATCAACCGTCGTTTTTAAACAAAAATCAAATGACAGTGGGGTGATGAGATGCTGTTGATACGGCTGGTCTTCAACATCGCGTGTCGAGGGGGAAAACTCTGTCAAATGGACAGGCAGAGTGGAAGGAGGTGTCTACAGCGAAATTTTGGGTGGACTAGTGTTTAGGTCCCGGGTTAGCCTTGGCCCAAATCAAGGTTTCAAGTGTAGCAATGCCTACCTTCTAGAATCGAGACAGGCCCTTTTGACAGCCGGGTCGCGTTATGCAAGTCCTGGAAGGGGTTGCCCGATCGCTTGCGACGCAAGGCAGCTAGTGAGCAGGGCTACTTAGTGTAGAAATGCCAGGCCTCCCAATGAGCGGCCGGGAGCCTGCCAGAACCGGTTTTTTCGTCCCTTGATGACCCCATGATGCATTGCTGGTTTACATACCCCCCCCCCCCCTTCAAATGCTCTGCCAGGCGAATCCATGGCCCGGCAACGCTTACGGCAGTCGATCTCTCCGACCAAATCCGGTGCACTGATTTCTGATTTCCAGAAGGATTGCTTGTTTGATAAACAGGCTGGTCCCTGCACATTTTGTCCGCTCAACCATGGTGGGTGAGAAACGAGGATTCGCCGCCAGGAAAGAAAAGCGATTGTAAACAATTCATCATGATTGCATGAAGGTCTGTTTCTTCCAGAGTCCCTGTCGCTGTTCTTGGAGTGGCATGGCGCTCACCAGCTTCCGAGCAAGTTGACCAACCCATGCCCGTTCCGCTCTTACAACGTCGCCTTCAATCTTACGGATTGTGTGCAGCTCCTCGATCATCAGGTTCACCGTCTCTTCGAGATTCTTAATCATGCGAAACAGCGCAGAGCTGTCGAATCGCTCTAACTCTCCGTAGCCCAGAAGATCCAGGCTCTGTAGCTGCCGCGAGCAATAGTCCAATCTCGTAGATAAAGCCGCCACTTCTTCTTGCCAAGTGCGGTCTAAGGAATCAATGAAAACGCCGTCGTACATTTCGTGCTCGTGGTGCAGCCGGTGGTGCCGAATCTCTTCCATCCGCTGAAACCACTCTTCAAATTTCTGCACGACCACCGTGTACTGCCCTTCTAGAGAATCCGTCACCATGTACACGTCTTCTGCAACCTGCGAAAGTACCCGAATCTGCTCCGCAAACCCGAGTGGGCCATTGTGCTCACAAGAGTTTCGAAACCAGCAATGAAGTGCGTGTCCATTGAGTTTCGTCTGATAATCTTGCTCTGCAGCGAGCGCGGCGCGGTATTTGCTGGCCACGGTCTTGTAGTCCTTCCGGAGTTGAGCTTCGACATCGGCCGTCCAGGAAGTCTTCTGTTGAAGAGATGCGGAGTGTGTAAGGCTTAGTTGTAACAGCTCTGTCTGCAAGGCTGCAAGCTCGGGCCATGATGAGGGTGATGAAGAAGCATCCGCATCCTCGGAGGTGGTAACGCTCAGATTCTTTGTAGCCGGCTTGGCCGCCTTTTTTGATAGTAGGTATTGCGGTTGGAACGATATCTGAGCTCTCGGGCGTGTCGGAGTTGTGGTGCCCGGTGAAGGTGGCTCCAATTTGCCTATCAATCGGCTCACATTGGGCGTGACCCCTTGACTTCGATGACGCGCGTGGCCGCGACTGATGGACGGTGTGCTGGAGCTGGACTTGACTGGCTGTCGCAAGGAAGCGGATCGACTGGGTCGGAGCGACGGGGGAGGCATATCGGATTCTTTGGAAGATAAGGGCCGTTCATCCTGCCCGGGAGCTAGTTCTTGTTTGGAGGGGGACAAAGGACTTGGTGCAAAAGTGGCCTGTTTAGGGGTGCTTATCGCAGCGGTTGGCTTCACAGGTCCAATAGGCTTCAGCGGACTGGGTCGACTGAGGCTATGACGACGATTTGCCCTGGTCGCTTCGCGTGTCGAAGGTTCACCTTGCTGCTGAGACCCCTTCCCCCCGATCTTGTTCGGCCGCTGGGACAGGCGAGTCTCTGCCGGCTGTTGGATTCGAGAGGGTTTCGCAGAGCGGGCATCATCACGGACCGGCAGAAGGCTCTTGTTTCGTGTTGTGATATTCTCATCTCCGGTGGCAGGATAAGAAGATTTGCCAACTGCCGTTGAGGTTGTGGGAAGGTTGGCTTTGGTGGTGGTAGAGCGCCCGGGGGTCAATAGCTGAACATTTCCGTGTCAGCAATCATGAGACAGGAGGATTGGAATAGCACACAAAGGAAAGCATAAGGCAGAGCAGATTGACAAAGGTGTTCCGAGGCCATTGCAGTCACCTAAATTAGAGAGAGGTAATAAAGGGGTGACGAGATGCAACTAACCTTACCAGTACGGGGCTCACGTAAGGAAAGGGAGCGCGTTGGAATCGGCATGATGATGGTAGATCAAGACATTTGCGGACGCTGAGTTGACTGGAAGACACAATGTACTCAGGATTGAGCTTTGTAAGCCGGACATAGCCTCTTCTACACCGATGTAAATGGTGCTTGGGGGGAGTCGCAGAGGTGGAGGTCTGAGTTCAGCTGAAGGCGGCAGTTCCAGACGGGGGCAGCTGCGGTGAAGGTTCCGCACAACCAGTGGAAGCTTGGCTCAGCCCGGTGAGCACCCCCAGCAGGGTTGTTATTACGCACGTATGGTCGAAGTTGGTTACACTTGAACTGCTACTTCAGGAACTGGAACTTGTGCTGTACCCATGATGGATCTCATGATAATCATGACCCTTGATCTTCTTAATCAACGACTATACTGATCATACGGAGCTTCAGATTTCGTCTGCCAAATACTGGGGCTTCTTCACGTGATTATAGCATTCGTCCATTCATTGAGAAGCGGTCTGTGATATCCACAGGATAACAACACAAACTTTTCCTGAAGTCTAGAAGGGAAACTCGCAGATACAAAAGGCGGGACAAGTCATCCAGTCCTAGCGACAACGCTCATCAGACTCCCAGCCCCATCCACTTCCCTCAAGTCATTTCCAACACGAAACTGCAGAAGTTTCCCACACTTCTTGCAAACGCGCAATTACCGATAGCCGATATATCCCTCACATTACCTGTGCACGTAGTTCTGACCGAATGAAAACAATTTGGCCCATATGCGCCCATCGACTACAAACTGCCACGTCTGGGGAAGGCGACGCCCTCAATGGCCGCATGGTCAGTGAACCAGCTGACTTTCTCACCGGCACCCTGGTTGACCAATGAGGACGGCAAGTCTCTTCCTTCCTCGGCATCAAAGATTTGCTTCATGATATCCTTCTTTCCACCTCCAGTCGCGATAAATGCGATGTTGAGAGCGTGTGTGACCACCGGCAGAGTAAGGGTGATGCGCTTCGGGGGCGGCTTGGGTGAGTCGCTGATGGCTGCCGTCCAAGCATCCTTCTCTCTGAGAAGCTCGTGGCCAGGGAAAAGACTGCAGGTGTGACCATCAGGCCCGCACCCCAAGAGGATGAGATCGAAAACAGGCAACTTCACACTGTCTTTGGCCGCAAAAGAGCGCATGAGGTCCTCCTGATACAGGTCGGCCAGCTCTTGGGGATCCTCATCATTGACATGAGCGGGGTCGATCGTATGCACGGTGGGAGCCCCAAATTCCGTTGGAATCTTATCGAGCAGTTCATCCTTCAACAAACGGTAGTTGCTGTCCTCATGGTCGAGGGGTACGGCGCGCTCATCGGCAAAGAAAATGTGCCACTTGGAGAAATGAGCAGTGTCTTCTTCGGACCCATTTCCAGGCGTGAGGAGAGCCTGCGCCAGCACCTTCGGCAAGGAACCACCAGAGACAGCGACACGGAAAGTGCTGTGACGACTCAAGGCGGAGTTCTGGATCCGGAGGACGTAAGGCCTCAGTTGCTGGGCCAAAGCATCGGTATTCGCAAAGCTGTAGAGATTAGGGGCGGAAGCAGCCATTGTGAAAGGCAAGCTGTAGCTTGTAGGGGGGGAAAGGGCAATATGGGAAAGAGAGAGGTTGAAGGGAAAAGGATTATTGATCTGCCCGGGCGAGAATATGAGGGGGGGAAGTGAGTAAGAGCAGAGGAGAAGAAAGAGAGAGAGAGAGGTGGTGGTTTTCGGTCAACAGCTTCAGGGCGGGGTGGCGGGGCAAAGGAAGGATGGAGAATTGTTGAATTGCTTGCTCCTCCGTACCTGCCGGAACGTGAGAATCACACGGGCCGGGAGTAACAACGACGAAACTGTGAGCTACTGTACTGTACAGCAAGTAAGGTAAGTGACTTTAGTATTGATAGTAGTTGTTGGGACCGACGAACAACTCAGGAAATTAATGAACTCGATGAATTTCAGTCAGCAAGATATAGAAAATTCAACCAATTCCAATTGTGTTCCTTCTTGGTGTTTCCTTACCGCATGGTGATGAGAAGGAGAAATGCCGGTGAGGTACCAGCCTGAGGCGAGCCATGATTACTCCCGCTCTATTCAACCATGACGTCGTCGTTGCCATATCCAACGGTTTCGCAAAGGGAAAAGGAAGGGAGGAAGACTGGAAGGATTGGAAAACACCATTCATTCAATCATTCATTCATTCATACCATCATCATGGATACTCCTCCAGGCTCCTTAGGTTAGTGGTGGTCCTCCCCCAATCAACAGACAACAACCGACCGTCGGTCGAGCATCTTCTTTCGCAATAAGAGCAGGGCCGGAACGAACGGCCTCATCTTATTCCTTTTCTACATGCCGTGCCGAACAAGGTTGGGCAGGAACAGTTAGTGGTTTTTATTGTTCTTCTGCTGTGCCCTTGTCTCTGTCTGCCCCCAACCCCTTCGTACTGTCTGTCCATCCTCGGCAGCCGCCACAGGGAAGCCAATTCTTGATTTGAGGGGAAGCCGCCGGGATCCGCGTCGAGCGATGAAGACACCCCAAAATACCTCAACTGACAAGCATGTGAAATGATGTCGATGTCAGCGTAACGCTCTGTCTGCCCACCTACTGCAGCACTGCGGCACGGCAGTGCAGCCTTCAAGCCCCTCCCCCTCTCCCTTCCCCTTCCCCCCCCCCCCCAACCTGGATCTAGAGAGGCTTGCGATAATGATGATCCTCACACCACAACAACCTGTAAATGAGAAGAATCGGTTGATACTATTGATCATGATCAGTAGACTAAGCCCTGCTGAGATAGCTAATTAGCGATCTTGAACAAGCTCCTGCATCCAGCTCCAGTGAAGATGATAGGGCCGTAATAGTTTGATCCTGGTGCTTGACTACCCCTATGACGAAGGCGTCCCAGGCATGCACGCGCGATTACGGCATCATGCAGACGCTGAGATCAAGTCTCAGTCAATGGTTAGTCCTCGCATCTGATGACTGATCTACTCTGTAGTCGAATTGACTCTCGATCTCAGTCAGTTGGTGCGGGTTAGGCTGAGGTCCCTGCGCCAGTAGAGCGCCTCCGGGGGGGAATGAACCCGGGGATTTATCAATGCCCGTGTGTCACCATCGGCCACCGCTTCGAAGGCGTGCGTGCGACCATTCTGCAGCCGGGCGCATACCTCGCACCATTGCCATGACATGTGCGCATCATCCCAATCCTGGCAGTGCTGCTATCAGGCGAATGTAATTTTTAGGCTGTATTGAAGTCCCAGCAAAGACTTTCAGCCAACAGATAAGGAAATGAGGGTAGGTGTTGCAGCTCTGCAGGTTTCAACGCAATGAGAGATGAATTGAGTTAGCCTATCTGTCGGTAGGACAAGAAGCAACACAATGACAATAATTGAGATCACATAGCTTGGTAGGGGCCTGTTAGGAATCAGAATTGTAAGTAACCCTTGCTTTGAGAAAGCTGTGTTCATCATTATAGGGGAAGGGGGGGAAGATATTCCTAAGGCCTCCTGTAAGTGGCCTAAGGTTCTATTACGGGCAATGGCTTCACAAGCGAACGATAAGTTAGTACGTAGACGCTAAGCCGGAATAGAAGAGTTGGCAGCGGGTGCAGAGACTAGGACTCAAAATGCCTCACCGTCGATTTAGGGGGAGCATGAGGAAGTCGTATAATTGGTATCTAGACTTTGTTCTCCAATCGAACCGCGAATTACGAACTTCATTTGCAAGGACTTTTAAGGAGCATCTACTGTGTAAACCATCCGTGTTTTCGGTTGGCTTTCCTACTGCTCTTCCCCACTTCCACCATAATGAAAGTAGCCGCACTGAGTCGTTAGCGAAGCCGTAGCGAATCCCAACTTGCTCCCTCCCAGCAAAACGCTCGCTTTTTACCTAGACAGACCCCCGAATCCACTCTGAGAAAGTTGGAAAATGGAGTGTACCCAAGACTCTGGATCAAAATTAGAACTAGTGGCTCCGGAAAGGCATGGAGCACACAATCCATTCGACCACTAGCACCCGGGATACAGCAGCGATGACAATGATGGCGCAGAGAAGAGCGGAATTGAGTTCCGTAGAGGGGAAAGCGATGACGAAAACGTAAAAACAGTTAGGATGATGTTTTGGACGAGGGAGATAATGGTGCAGTGCTGCGGTTGGACTGCTGGGATGGTTCCTGCCTAAAAACCATGACCTTAATTTCAATCATACGCAACCCCCTTCTTTCTACACAAGGCGGTTCAAATCAAGAAAGAATTATGGTTTGACAGCAACACATGATGGAACCCGATGAGCAGGGCGACTGGAGCAAGATCGTCCGCATCCTTCACATCCGAGTCTGACAGGACATTCTGAAACACTCGAGGTGGAGTCCCATTCCAAGAGACCGCCTCACAACTCACAACTCACGACTTCCCGCATGCAACGACGACGCCGCCGCCGCTACTACGCACGAGCCCAAGGCCCGAAGTGTACCAGTGACTAGTACTAGGCACGAAGTGATCATCACAGTAACATGAATTGTTACTAATCTTCGGCCCAATTTTTAGGAGGATCTGCTGAAGGCAATGGCGAAATCGACGAAGTTGAGAAGATGAGACTAGACTTCCTCTGCCAATGGGAAGCAATACCATCTGATATCTACAATTCCGATGAGTTCGAGGCTTGGTTATCAGTCGTAGTCATCAGCGCGGGAATTACCGCCTGGTTGGACCGACGGGATTGGCTGGGCGCGGGAGCCTGAGTTTTGATGACTACCTCATGTTCCACTGGTCAATGACGAGCAGAGCAAATCACTAAACTGGATTAATCTCACTTGTATCATTGAAGGAAAAAGACTCTGTTTTTCCTTGACTCTCAAAATGCGGGCGGGGCCACCTGCTCCGCCCGGCTAATTATTCTGGTTAATAATTTCAATAGTACGTCGCCCTTCTGGTGACTATGTTGCCGTGACTAAGTCAACAGCAGCAGCAGTGGCAGCAGGTGGAATGGAAGGAATGGAACGGAACGGGTGGAGTCTCCCAACAGGCGGGAGCCGATACAGATTGATTGTCAGATATACTTCCCTCATAGGTTGAACCACTGATAAAAAGTAGGCCACGAGCTGTCCAGTCCCTGAAAGGGCAGAGAAAGAATGGCAGATCCGAGTCTGAACCATACCATTCTTGTGATCGCCCCCGTCTTGCACCCTTTGACTTCCCGCCCCCCTTCAACGTTGGTCATGACGACACGACCCTGGGTGTCGGTGCAGCAGAACAAAACGAATGCAGACAACAGGGAGGGAGGGGGTATGGAGGGGAAGAAGGGAGATTAATGCATTAGACCAAGCCTTGATTAACTGCAAGTGAGTTATTGTGGCTTTTCTGCAGTTGAGATCAGGATCAGACACACTACGTAAGTAGTCGTAATTTGTGACTTGGGGGGAGGGGAGGGGTGGGAGGAGGGGTTCAAACAAAGATACTTACGAACATCATCATAGTCAACAACAATGCAAAGCAAAAGGTTTGAATAGTATGGAACCAAGTCCTAATTGGAGGTTGCCCAAGATGCGACCGAGTAACAGGGGTGGTGGAACAATCGAATCAGCCTGGATGATAGATGATGAGGTGAGTGATGATGCCACAGGGAAAGCACTCCAGAGAACTGGAAAAGACTCGCATCACCGGTTCGTTCATCCATCCAGGAACCACCAACAGGGAAGGGAAAATTAAGTCTAGTTGTATATTTCAAAATTACACCTACAACCTACTACGTAGTAAGTCAAAGTACTACTATTCGGTAGGATAACCAGCCAACCATTTCGATAGGTAGTCATGAGAGTCGGCTGCCGCTTCTCCGGTCCATCCAGGCAAGCGTACCTATGATTATTACCCTAGTAGTTATTAAACACATCATTCCATCACCACCATCATCCATCCCTACATGGATTGCTGTATTGAAAAAGGACCCGAGCAGCTGCCTCACCCGAACAACAACACTTCAATTTATCCTCCTGTGGTTGATTGACACAGTGGAAAAAACCATCATCAAGTCTGAAACCTGATCCCCACATTCCGTGCAGCTGCTTATAGTATCAGCTGCCTTATTCCTCATGCGTACGGTCTTGAGTTGTTAGCCTCGTTATTATTGTTATTGTTATTGTTGTTATTATCGTTGTCGTTGTTGTGGTGGTGGTGGTGGTCATCTACCTAGTTTCATCAGATTTGCACATCCTACCCCTGTCTTATTGAATTTTAATTTTCCTTACTCCGAGATTCGATTTTCGGTTTTTACCGTTTTACCTGAGGCAATCACTATAAATTACTACCACGTACTATTTTGCTTCCGCTAAACCAGACCGGTGCAATTACGGAGCGAAAGAAGTGGAGATCGATCTGACCCTGAGGACTTCCTTTTCGCGCTGGGCTTTCTGGTCATATAGAGATATTTCCAGCAGCTACAGCCCAGCTGGAATTTGAGCTCCGAACTCCTTTTTCATCTTCTGATCACTACTCCAGTTGCTCTTATTTCATACCCACCTACCTGTGCCACGACTCCAACCATCTACTCAGTTACCAACTACTACTAACAGCCACTAC